CCAAAGAGAGCAGGGAGTTTAGACTGACTGACTTTTCCTGTTGCTGTCTCTTAACTCATTGTGTGTGTGTTTATGTAAATGAAATGGCAAACACACCTAATTACTGTGACTTCACTTAGTAAGTGAAAACAGAGGAGGCAGACGTGGCATGGCTAAGTTGAGGCTTTCAAATGCAGTCATGACAACTAATGCTTTTTCTTGTTTGTTATTTGCACCCAGTTATGCACACTTAATTCAAAAATATGGAGTAGATGTGTGGAACAAGTAGGTCCATCAAAAAAGTTTTTTGTTTTTGTTTTTCCTTACAGCGGACATTTTTGACTTTCAAAGTTGGAAAGGAACAGGTGTTATTAAAGGCTCTGTTCTATTCAAAGGTCCCAAAAAGCCACAACAGTGACAACCTTTAAATGTACAAAGTATTCTGGTTTTTGCCCTTATTCTGAAAAAGACAATATTCCTACTAAGCTGTTGACATGGCAAATGATTGAGGAATATTCCACTAATATTCCTGTTTACATGCAGCCGCACATACTTCGAATAATGTAATCTCACATGTTGGTTACCACATCTAAATGGAATAATGAAACAGCTGTCGCTTGCGCCAGAATTTGTTTTCCAGCACAGCCTCCCACTTTCATTCCTTTAACCACCTTCCTGAAAAGGTCACGATTATGAAATTTGCACATATCCAAAACCTGTTTATATGAAGTTCTTCCTCATATTTAAAAGTAGGTGTGTTTCTCTTTCCAGTCAGAAATGTGGGCTTTTCTTTTGGACAGAATCTCTACACAACAGTCTTACAAACTATCGGCTTGTTGGTTTGTGTACATGTACACAATCCATGACAACCCACAGACCTAACTGTAAGGAGGCCATGTGTCACAAACTGCAGTGAAAACCCCAACTGAGACAGATATTCCAAATTCGCTCTACAGGTGTCCAAGGACTGCTGTTGAAACCCGAATAATATTGGCATATGCAACATGTCTTTAAATGCTACACTGAGAATTAGGCCAAAGTCTGAATATCTAAACAGCATATGCTCTTTACGTACATGACCAGTATCAAACTCACTGCATTGTCATTTCGAAAATATAGCAAAATATTAGTGTGCATGTAAATGTACTCAGTGTGACAGTCAGCCAGCATGCACACTACCAAGACCCTGAAATTGAAGCAGCTAAATGGAATCGAGCCATCATTCATTCATGTTATGATTCACACCTGTGCTCTTCCTACTGAGACGTGTCAAAACGTCTTCCATGGAAAAACACCTACTTTATCTGTTACAGGCTTGAAATCACAACTTGGTTTCAGTCACATTCCTCCCATCTTGGTTTCGGTCATCCCATCTCCCATCTAAAATCGATCTACTCTCTTACAAGGTTGTGCATCTGGCTCCTGAGAGTAAATCTGGAGTAACATGCCAGGTCATTGCTCTAGATTCTGACCGTTTTTTCACCCGTGGATATCTAGACAATGGTTTTAGAAAGTATGGAAATCTGGGTGATATATAGACACATGTGAGAATTGTTTGTTGTCTACATCATTAGATTCACAGAAGAGTTTTCAAGTGAACATGAAATGAAATAGACAGATGTGTGTGTGCATGTGTGTGTGTGACACTTGCTGAACGGGTGCAGTTACCTGTGTCCCTGTCGAAGTTCTTATTGTTGATAATGAGACACTTCCCAAGGCAGGGGTAGTCCATCTTGTAGCGGAAAGGGTCAGAGCCTGCTGTTTTACCGCTGGGGGCAGAGTCCACTTCCTCAGGAGTCTTACCATTGCCTGCGGGTTCTTTATCCGACCTGAAAATACACACACACACACACACACACACACACACACACACACACACCCTTAACAACAGTCTGAAATCTGAGGAACTTGTTTAGCAACGTCACATTTACACAAACATTTTAACACAATTTGACAGCAGCTCATTTGTGTCTAAACTTATTCGACCACAGTCTGTACCATCTGATTGCACACAACATGCATGGAAGTCCTAATGTTTTTTGGAATATCTCATTATACAGGGTGATGTGTTAAAGTACCAGTATTATAAATGTTTCAACAACTGGGTCAATGTGACATAATCTTTTTTTTTTTTTTTCATCTTAAATTTAGCATTTTCACACCTTTCTCATCTATCAGGCATTTACCTCTTTCAAAAAGAAAAACAAGGGCAGAAACTTCCATCTAGCAGTTTATGTATGAAAGTGACTGATTCTGACTAATTTGAGAGGTTAAATAAAAATATTACACATAGCAATTTTAAAAGGGCCTGCACACCTGTAGTACATGAACACAGCTTGTTTCAACTTGATTGTGTGGGAGTGTGCAGACTGCGTTTGATTTACATCTTCCTCACACTCCCATTAGCTTTGTTGCATCAGCCAGGGCAGGACAAACTACACCTACATCATCCGTATCATGCACGGAGTGCAGCAAGGCTCTGCACACCTTTAACCTGAGCAGAGGTCTAAGTCAAAATATCTGTGCAAGTGTGCAGGGCCCTCAGAGTCATCAAATGCTACCTGCATGGGACTAATTACTTTATTTTCAACAGATAATACATACAGGTTTAGCTACAGAATATATGTGCAACCAGATAGTCATCACCGAACAATAATTACCTCTTTCTAAACAGCTTTAAGGCGTCCACAGTATCCCCACCGCTCTGCACACCACCATCGCCACAAGGCTCAGCCATGTTCCTGCAGGCATGAATGCATACAGACAGTGATCAGAAGGAACGACATAAAGAGACCAACTTGTTTCTAGATTCACATCTATCTTTCTCAACCACTTCCTGCTATTAAGTATCTTGCACTCTGTCAAAGCATGTGCAAGGTTTATGAAATTACAGAACTTTCAATGCAATTTAAAACTCTTATCGGCAAAAGCAACTTCAGAACCACTGACACTGATTAATATATACAATTCGATAGTCTTTGTTTTAAGTGAGGTGGCCCATCTCCGCTCTTCTATAAAACACTGCTATATTTATTGGTTTTTAGCTAGTCTGTAACAAGTTTGCTCACAAAAATCACAGAAACACTTTTCTTACTCACCACAAGTGATATTTTGGCACAGATCTTGTTTCCTCCCACACAAGGACTATTTCTTAAGTAGAAAGCAATTCCAGTGAAAACTTGTGACAGTGAGGTCTGTCTGTCCGGTGTTTTGGGCAGCTGAACAAAATTTTATTTACCACCATCAAGGATGGTAGCAAGAATTTCAAAGAGACCCAAGAAGACAGCTAGGCTATCTGGGGAAATGTATTTTTTTACTTTGCAATTTTGGTGAAGTAAATGACGTCCGTTTAAAGATTATAAAAAGAAAAATATTTTTCCTTGACAAATGGCATCAACTTATTAAGTGTAATGTGTTATTTGAAAACTTTGGTTACTAGTTACTTTACAAATTAAGATTTTTGAGCACAGCCAATGTTAAAAAAATACAAGTGCAGCTGAAATGATTAGTCAGTTAAATATAAATTAAATACATTCTGATAATCATTTAAGACTTTTTCCATGCAAAAACAATTATGGTTCCAGCTTTGCAAGCATGAAGACCTGCTGCTTTTCTTTTAATCATTTCTATTAATTAGATTTATTAAATTGATTTAAAATGTTCTGCATTGAGTTTCATACAGAATCAGACTTCAAACTCAAAACCAGTATACCACAAAGGGCAAAACCACGATGGCTGATTCAAACCAGACTACTTCTTCCTGGAAGCTGATCACAGTTAGTCTTTTTTTACTGTGGTTAGTATGGTGAACATCATGGAGGGATAATACCTGTACCTGATCATGTATAAATCTTTCATTACACCAAGGTATCTTGCGCTTCACCAAAAACCTTAACTGTATTATTTATAAAACAATATGTACACCTTGCAATAAATAAGTTACAGTGGGAAACATGCAATAGTGTTAGGTTATGCTGTAACTCAAAGTGAAACTCCTCTGACATGCCAGTAAGACTTGTAATAGTGCCCTGTATTGTGCAACGTTTGATCACTAAGAACCGAAACTGCTACATGTTCTTTATCACCATGACTCTCTGTTTTTAACTGTGTCAAACTGCGTAATCCACCTGTCAAATGCATCTGAAGTTAACGACACATTCATCGAGCTCCATGCTGCACATCGGGGTGCAGCGTTAATGTTCACAGATACTCTTCTCTGTTAAAGAGGTTAGTGGGAGCACTGGTACAAAGGTTAATGTAACCTCTGTTGTCTTTACAGCGTCATGTCTGTATGCCTCTATCGATTCAAAAACAGTGTGGTCATTCACATATGAACTGTGACCTTAGCCTCTCTCCTTCAGGAAGCAACAGAAAGTACAACGGACACATATTAGCGCTGCTAGCTAACGTTAACTGACACGAGATTCACAGGGCTACAAATGACCAACAAATATAACGTAAGGTGACATCCAATTAACTTATAGTATCTGCCCTAAGAGACATTTCGGTCAGCTCTGTAAAGTTTTAAACACCGAATGAAGTCACAACTACAGCCTCCAGTTACATGCTCAACGTCACTTCTTTAAACTCATTTACTCCAGGTGCTAACTCATTAACGTTACCTGCAGTGGGCGAAGTTACCAGAAGTGCAAACTCATATGGCCACTCCTGTTTAACTACAGCAAACACGACAAAGTAGCGCTTCGTCAAACACTACGTGTGGATAATAATTAAAAATGTATATACTTTTACCAAAATTAATGTACCTTTCTTGTGAGACGTTGGTGGAAACAGTTGTTAGCAAGCCTCCCTCCTTATCACGAATACAAGGAAACGTCAAACTGTTCAAAGTACAGGCCTAAAACTCTCAGCCAATCAGGAATGCCGTTTCCTATGTGGGCGGGAGAAACCACACAGAGCCCTGAAGATTGTCATGTATCATTCCGACCAATCCATGGACGTGTCAATACATGTTAAGGAATCCAGAAACCGAAAAAACTGTATTTAATGAACATAAGCATTTAATGCATCTGTCAGAGAAAATTACTCATACAAATGAAACCAGTTTGACTACAAATATTCAATTACACCCCCTAATTAAATTTTATATTCTTCTGTAAGAAAAACACAGGAAAAAAAATCCTCCTATTATCATTATTTTTACTATTATTATTTGCATTTGTATTTATAATACTTACAGTATTGATTTTATCTAGCAGTGACTCTAAATCCAAACCTATGATCCAAAAAAATTCAAGCTGGTCTGAGTATTAAAGGGATAGTTCAGTTTTTTTTTAAAGAGGGGTTGTATCAGGTATTTAGCCATAGTCAGTGTATTACTTACAGGAAATGTCTATTGACACACCCACAGTTTGGGGAAAGGGCTTGAGTGCTGACACAGAAGCTCAGCAATACACTACTGTGGATGGGATCAGCAGCAAAACATATTTTAGCCACCCTCCAAAAAATCCCACCTTATACAATAAATATCAGTTTAGGTGTAAGCTATATTGAGAGTATTACAACTGTTTTACCTTTCAGACAACCCATTCCAACGGGGAAGTTGTCAACAGCTCCACATCTAGCCCCAAACTCCAATGACATAAGCAGTAATTTTGGTTCACCGAACACAGGAGCTGGTGGTCTACCACTGTGTTGATCAGTTAAGACCCTGACACTCCAAGCCAATGGTCAACCGTTGGTCAAAGTTGGGCCATTGGTGAGCGTCTGCCGACTTTGTCGCAGCTGTGTGTCTCACACCATTACCCCTCGTCGCCCCCTGTTGGTTTGGTGTGCCTGGGCCTTTAGTTAGTTTGTGTTATTGTGTGACTTTGGTGTATAGGGTCAGTTCAGATTCACCAATGTCACACAATAACAAGAAAACAAACTCTGACCAGCAGTTCCTGTGTTCAGCGATGTTAAATCACTATTTTTTTTTTTTTTTTAAATCAAAGCAATGTAACTGCTTTAGTTCCCCGTTGGAAATTGCTGTCTGGCGGAAAGGTAAAGCAGTGAAAATACTCTAAATGCACTTAAACCGATACTGACTGTTTTAGGTGGGACCTTTTTGGATGGCTACAGTATGTTTTATTGCTACTCCAGTGACAGCAGTACATTGCTGAGTTTCTGTGTCGGTAGTCCTGCCTGCTTCTCCAAACGGAAGGCGTGTTGACTGCCATCTACAGTAGGTAATACATTGACCATGGATAAGTAACTCATATGACCCAACTTAAAAAAAAAAAAAAAAAAAAAGAAGTATTCCTTTAAGGCTTTAAAGGTTCCAGCAGCCTTAGTATTGCTCATAATATCTTAAGTCTTTATTGTGTGGATTGCGTGTTTGTATGACACAGCAAGTTATTTCTGAGTCTTATTCTTCGTCAGTCGGTTATTGGTTCCTCCCAGCTGATGCTTCGCTGCCTGAATATGCTTGGTCTCCAACAACAGAGCCGGCAAGCTGGACGCTCCATACTGAACAGGAGGAGAAGAGGGAAAACATTTATTAAAATCCCTGAAAAGCATCAGCTGTGCATTAAGACAAAAAGATTGTATTACTAAAGCTGTGGCCAAGACACATGAGTAACGAGGCAGTATTCAAGTCATGATTTCCATTATTTCTAAAGTCATTATTCACATCATCAGAGCGTGTGTAATGTGTGTGTTTACCTTCTCTTTTGCTTTGGGGTGTTTGTGTCGGTAGTCCAGGTATTGTCTGTTGAGCTCTCTGATGTCATTCAGGAAGGCTTGGCCTCGTCTCAGATCAGCTAATCGGGTTTTAAGTTCAGCTTTCTCTTTTTGCAGCAGCCACACCTGCCTCTCGGCCCTGACCAGTCACACAGTGTAAAGGTCATAGTGAGTACTGGGATGGAAACAAACTTTACAGGAATATTTACTTTTGAGGAAAGGCAGGTCAATAATGATTGTTTTTTACAATGAAAAGACATTTTTGTGTTAATTATGCATATAACTAGTAACACCATGGATGCTTTAATGACTAATTATTTTAGAAAGATTTACATTTAGTTTATAGACACAAAATCCTTACATTAATCTCAGTCTGTGGAAATAAAATTGGTGTGTGTGTGTGTGTGTGTGAATCTGAATTCCCTCTCACCTCATTAGTTCTTGTTTGGCATTCAACAGTTTCTGTGTCTTTGTACGGATCAAAGAACCCACCTGACACACAGGACAGAGGACATAGTAAACACAGACCATGGTATCTGTAACAAGACTTTTGCTGCATCCAAATCATATACTTTGCACTACAAACACAATATGAGTACTGTCATTAAGCACACTTTTGTGATAAATTAACATTAGAATGTATCTTTTGGATGCACTGAGCTGCACACCACTACTAGCAATTTAAACATGAATAAAAAAATATATTACGCCAGGCAAAGTAAAACCTAATACTTGCACTTAAATTTTTGTTTTGGACACTGTCTGCTCTGAGCGTTGTCATATAGCGTCTATTGTGGGATAATTATGCCAACTTATTGTCCATTGTTTGCATACTTTATTTACCAGAAATAGTGCTCAATGCATGTACTATTGTTTACGAATTAAGGTTTCTGACATATAAATAAATCTAATATACTGTATTTAGCATACTAAATGGCATGCTTGTATGGAATTTTGGACACAGTCTGAGTCTAAAGCCATGCTAGCAGCTCTGTGAGGCTAGACATGTGCACACAGTGGTATTTTGTGCTAAATGCATCAGCACAGTAACATGCGCATAATGGCAGTGCTACCATGCTAATGTTAAGTGCATACTGTTTACCATGTTCACTTTCGTAGTGGTGTGTTAGCAAAAACTTAGTCATCATAGTTACCTTGGCATTTTCTCTTTTTAAAACCTTAAACTCCTTGAAAGAAGAGATCTGGAAGACAAAAAACAGAGAACATACATGAGTTTGATTTAAATTCTGATATTAATCAGCATCATTCACCTCTGTGTCGTAGTATGATCACATTTATTGTTGACTCAATATCACGCTGGTGTCTTAGGGGCTTATTTTTGAGTTCAGAAATTTGTTTGGAATTCTGTCCTAGATTCTATAATTGGGGGTATACTTCTTTACACCCTGACTGAGTCAAGTGTATGTTCAGTATATTCATTTATCTCTGGTGAACAACAGTAAATCTAAACCTCTAAATGCCAACCAGAAACATTTTGAAAACGACACAGAGTCCAGCTTCTCTTTTGCTTTAACTCCTCTTTATCAAATATTAAATAGAATTTTGAGAGTCTGACCTTTGTCAATAGTTCCTCTTTCACAGTGGAGGAGAAAGAATCAATGGAGTGTTTGACTGCTGCAGACTCCACGGACTCCCTGAAAAACAAAAGCACATCAAAACAATGTAACCATCTCTAACTGCAAGATTTGCAAAAGAAATATTAAAATTGTTAACAGAAGTGAGAATAGAAGTATTTATTATATGGTAACATGAAATGGAAGGGTAGATTAGAGGCTACTTGTTTAAATGTCTAAATATACCTGTACTGGTCACAGAAGTCAAGGAAGGCATCCAGCACCACATCTAACTCTGTTCCTCCCTGATGACGACGTCTCTTCTGTCTCTCCTCATCAGTGTTGGCCTTCTCAATTTCTCCAGACGCACTGCCTTCATGTGGAAGAATTAGGTTTCGGTTGTTTAAGTTTCATGAGGAATGGTAAACAGTGATGTCTGACTTTGCAGCGTAGCCTCTTGAGCTCTTTTCCCTTACCTGATGAAGACTTTCTAGATTTAGACTTATCAGATGAAGACTTTTTAGTTGTGCCAAGACTATACACCCTGGCCTTATTTGGACTTGGGCGCTGAATAAATAACATAAAGCAAAAAACAAAAACAAACAAAGTTAAGAGTCAGGATGTTGGCCCCAATCCTGTTGATGCTAGGTTCCTGGCTACAACAATCTGTGGAAGTTGCTCCTTACCCAACTCCTGTCCTCATCTACCTCTTCCTCCTCACAGGAGGACAGGACTTTCTTACGTATCTGCTGGGCAGTGCCAGCGTCAGAGTCCTCCTGGAAGAAAAAACAGCATAACACTGCCTCAGTATACTCTAAGTACAGTCTCCACTCAAAGGTGCTGTATGTAACTTTCAACATGTAGTGATCGTTTTTTATTGCCGACAAGTGAACATACTGTAACGTTACTTAAAAAACCCAACTCTCTTTGTTGCCTATAACAGCCTGTGGACTGATTACTGTAAAGACTCGGGAGGAATTTTTTTAGAAAATCCAAGAGTTGACGTTATGTGTGATCCCAAGTGCCTTGCCTCCCTTTAGCTCTGCTACAGCACCAGCGGTGTACAATACTAGCTAACATTAGCTAAGAAATCGAGACTACAAACGACAACAAACAACCCACCGCAACGCAGTATCCACACATGCTGTGTTCCCATTATATACATTTTGTAGCGACAACCTGGAGACAGACCTTCAGCAACTCAAATTTGCAGACCAGAGCTAGCCAGTCTGTCTGGTCTGCTCTCCTTCCAGCGATGCAGTATCCTAGTGGCGGGGAGTGAGGCAGAGGGACTGCTGGGTGCAATAGCTAACTAATCCTTGTTTCATGTGTTGTCTGACAAAAAGTAAATCACCGCCCCCTGGTAAGAAGAAAAATCCCACAGGAAACATTGACGTGCGAAATATTATAAATAAATAAATAAATTATAAATAAATTATAAATATTATATAATATTATTGTGATATTGTGGTTTTAGCTGGCTAATGTTAGCTAACGCTAGCTTGCTTGCTAATGCCGACCAAATGCTAGCTAATGTAGCAAAATACTGTTATGGATGGATAAGGTCTAGGGCTGACCCAAAAAATTCAAAGCTTCAAAGCTTCATTCGATGGCACGGGATTCGATTGTGAAGAAAAATTCTCCTGTTTTTTTGGGGGGACCTTGAACGCAACACCATCTCCGACAAGGAAATAGAAAGCCCGACGTGCAATGAATGGAGACCTATTGTCCTGCTTGAACACAGACAACTAAATTCTTTCAACAATGTGACTCAAAATAATAATAAAATAGATTTTACTGATGTAAAATAATATGGTGATGGTCACATTTTCCACCGGTCCGCTGCGCTCTGAGTCTGGTGTCAGTGACACATGCTGCTCTGAGTTGCGCATCTGTCTGCTTGCGCTGCAGTGCGCACAGAGGGTTTTAAATTTTAGTGTTAAATCAAAAGTCAAACACTACTTATCAGCAACCAGAAGTCTTTTTTTGTTTGTGAATATTTTTATCTTAATTCTAGGGTTGCAAGAAACTACCTTTTCAACATAATTTCTAAGTCATTAACTTTTTTGGGGCTTTTTTTTTTTTTGTTTGTTTTGGCTCAGCCCAGGTGCTTGCTCAAGCCAACAGAGTGCGAGCGTGAGCAACGGATTGCTGACTGCAGTGTGGCCACCAGTGTCATAATAACAAGGCCCTTCTGAAAGTTGCAAACAGAACCTTAAACTACTGACACAAGATGTTTGTTTAATCATTTTTCTTTAATGTTGCTTTCATTATGTCTCCAGTAACACAATTCCGAGTTACTGAAGACATGATTCACTTCTTTACCTTTGACTCTGGGTCACTGGCACTTCCACTTCCTGATTCACTCTTCTTCTTCTTCTTGCCTTTCTTCACCTGCTGATTTTTCACTGGCCTTGTTGGGACACAGGGGCAGATAAATAGTTTAATGGCAAGACAGGATATTAACAAACAGAAAATGCATGGCCAGTGCACCCACATCAGCCAGACTATGATGTGCCACATCATAATTTCTTCAAGTCTCTGTCAGCCTTTTCTCTAATCCCTGTCCTGCTCCCCGACAGTCCCTTGGATTCTTATACTGGATTTACTGCACTTAGTGTTTGACCAAGAATAATGGATGTATTTTTGGGGGCAAGTTATGTGTTTATAAATGTGAGTGTGTTTGTGTGTATATGTATAACTGTATATTTGTTGACACACTGACATGGGTTTATAGGTCTCTATTCAAGAGTATGAAAGAATATGAGCTTTCTTTTTAAATCATTTTATCTATTTTACTCAATAATAGTAATACATTCTTTCTATACCTGATACTTAATTTTCTACACATTTTTTCTAAAAGAAAAGAAAAAAGCTATGAAGTAACCTCTTTGTGACCTCACCTCACTGCAGACGTTCCTCCAGTACTTTTCCTACTCCTCTTTTTCTTCTCCCCGTCCTCCTCATCCTCTCCATCTCTCTCTGTCTCCTTCCTCTTCATGACAGCTCCGCGCTGTTTAACATTACTTTTCAACGTCTGAGGAACTTCCTTTTTCCCAGCTTTTCCCCTTTTCATCTCTCCCTCCTGTGCAACATTTAAGTCTTCCTCCACGGCGGTACTGTGCAGAGGGTTACCTAGACAACACGAGTTCTCTGGTGAGCACAGGATTGGTGGTTTGGCATTATGCTAGACTCTAGGGTTACATAAAAGATTTATGAAGAAACAGAGGCAAAGATAAAGAAAAGAGTTTGCCAGTGTAACTGTGAAATCTGCTGCATTAAAATAATACTTTGTCGAAACTATAGCATGAGGTTAGAAGTAGAAAACCTATTACACAATACAATGCACTATTTATCCATTTATCCATCCTCCGTTAACAACACACAGTTTAACACCCATGTTGTAGCCGTGTGTTTGGCTTCAACTGGTCCCTTTCAAAAAGGTGTTAAATTCAAATGGTTTGTTGCTTTTTCAGGACTTGAGGAGACACAATGACACTGAGATGGATACAGTACAGTGTAAACATTTACCAGAATCTTTCTGTAGTCCATCCAGGAAGCTAGCTATGTCTATTGCAGACAGGTTGGGAGAATCCATATGATCATTAGATGAACCTTTCTGGATGTGAGCACAACATAGCACAATAAGTATCCAATATTTACACTCAATTAGGACAGCTTTACAGCAAGGTGTGATAACACAGTTGCAGACATAGAAAATTTCCTGCTTGTGTTTTTAACTGAGAGAAAAAAACATACAGTTGACAAGGGAATTCCACATTTTAATTCCTTTGAAAAACAAATTATAGGAATTTTCATCAAATCAGTGGAGCAAATGCGACAATGACCATTAACCAACTCACCTGACTCTTTTGTTGTGGCACAGGGAGCACTTTAGCTCCTTTGCGCTTTTTGGCACTGTGGGAACAAAGAAGACATGGGCTCTTCATCATTATGAGTCTCAATATTTGCCACCACCAGCAGGTGACACCTCCAACCAAACGACTCTTGTTCCCGAGTCGCTGAGCATCATCCCTGCTAAAGTAGCACAGTTCCCACCAACTCCAAGCTAGTGTTTGATTTTTGAAAGTGTAATAGAGCCTGAAAATCTAAATCCAATCAAATTTGAGCTAAATTTAATCGAAAATGTAATAAAATCGAATAATGTAATATCTTGACCAATACTGTAATACAAAGTCCTGACTGATACTGTCGTAACATTACCTCTAATGTAATACCTTTCAGGTGTTTTTTTTTTGTTGCAATAAAATGTAATAAAAATATAGTGTTTTTTTCCCCTCTTAAATGTAAAGTATGTTGGTTTACAATACTTACAGTGTCATGTTAGACTACTGACAACACTAATATTTGATGCTGATTTTATGTTTTAGTAATGTAAACTAGATCTAGAGTAGATCTTAGATTAGACACCATCAGAGGATGACTAACGTTACACAAGCGAACAATGAAGACATTCAAATTGATATCAGTCATTCTGAGTCTGCACTGATTTTTTGCCTCAGGTGATATCTAGCCTGATCTTATTACTAAGGTTGCAGCTGTATACTGGTTTCAAGGTATACTGTGATATGAAAGTTGACAGTTATCACACAGTGAACATTTGTTTATCTATGATATTGAAAGGAAATGAAACTGGATGGAGAATCTCACCTTTAGTTATTTACAAAAGAAAGATTTTTTTTTTTTTTTTTTTACATATACTTACATTAAAAATGGTGTCAAGTTTCAATTTTAGAATTAAATGTTTGTTCAACCAAGAAAAAAACTCTTCTGTTTTCTTTAAGGGCCATTCTGACTTAAAATAATAATAATTCTGTAATGCCGTCATACCATGAAACCCTAATGTTTTTTGAGACAGTTATGGTACCGTGAAATCTACTGTTGCAAATCTACTTATGACATCTCTTCATTGAATTTGAACTTGAGTAAATTGGACCCCCTTTCTTCCTTTGAAAGTAGAAACGTGTTGACTTTTACTCAATTACAACCCCAGGGATTGTAATAATCACAGATTTTCTAGTTTTTAACTTGCCTGACTCAAAAAGTTTGAGAGCTAAGTTACCACTTAAAAATATTACATTATATATATATATATATAACCATTTCTATCAAGGTAAGTGCAATTTTTATAGAATTTTCGGGGGTTATTTTAAGGAAATTATTTCAGCAATGGGGGTTTATTCTGTCAGCTAGTTTGACCACTTTGTTGTTCTTTTCCTGCGCACGTCTTCCTCCAAATTACTTTACGTTATTTACGTTACTGAGTGGCGACAACACGACTTAATTCATGAAGTTGTAGCTTAGCTGGTGTACATGAGTGTACATGCCGAAACTAGCAGCACCAAAGGTGACCGGCTTGTAAAGCAAGTGTATAACGTTAACGTTACTAATATCATGCGTAATGTGTAAACGTTAAAGGTAAATTTCCCAGTAACTAAGGTAAGTAGGAAGACGTCATACTGCTTGAAATGTGACTTTACCAACAAACGAGAGTGGTGTGTATCATATATACTAACGTATAGCTCATAATTAATCTTTCTCACCTCATTTGGACCCACTTTGGCTCAGCTAAGTAGTGACTTTGTTTTGTAAACACTCCGTAGCTTGGTTGAAACCGCTTCCCGCGAATTGCTTCAAGTTCCGGACTGTACCATTCCAGACACAGGGGTGGACGGTAGTACAATTTGTTACGACGAAAAATTCAATCTCAAAATTAGAGTTTGTCTCGATAAAATTACAACGCGTAAGCCTTAATTTTACCAGGAAATAGTATGAATACATTTTATTTAAAGTAAATATTTGCACCGATATTGTTTAAAAAGGTATCCACCCCCTGCGGATTCGCTTAAATTTCGGCCCTACGGGAAGGGAAAGGGTTCAATATTTGTCCTGACCGATCTTTATATCAAGGGAGCGAAGCACAGCAGAAAAGTCTACATTCCTGAGTTTATAAAGAGCAGCGCAATTAGAAAGTAAGGCCCAAAACACAGACGATTATAGTTCCAGCACCTGAACAAGAGAAAATTATGTTTTTTGATATGTTTACCCTAGTCCACTGCATAGGAACAATAAAATACATACATACATACGTCCTGACGTCATTAATATCATACATACAGATCTCTTGGAGTAAATATAAAAGGACTCACTTCAACTGAACCATACATCTGAATGGTTTTTCCTGTACATGATGATGCCAAAGACATGAGATCACACAGCTCTTTTGATGATTTTTAATTAATTAGTTTTTTACAAAACAAATGAGGTGACAACAAAACAATTACAGCAAGACCATAGTCAAAGGAACTTCCATTAAATTAAAACTACAAACATTCAAAAGGATTTCATTCGGGTTGTGAACAATGTCATTTTTTAATGTATATGTGTATTTCACCCTATGGCAGCATATTATAATAATTTAAGAAAACTGGTTCCTACAACAAATCTTTTCCCTTTGTGTTAGCAACATAAATAAATTAAAACATTGACAGTTTCCCTGGCCGTTCTCAAGCACCTGAATCCCCTGTTTACAGTTAGCTTTGTTTAGATTATCTTTAATATGGCTTACTCTGCTGGTTCCCCAGGTCCTAACTGAACTTCATCTTATTCGTTAACAGATTTAAGGACACTAACAATCTTGTCATCCATAGGAGATTTCATTTCTCTACCAAAGAAAGTCAATAAACATAGTAAAATACAACAACATCTGACAAATAAATCTCATCCAAAATCTGAAAACTTTAAACTGTGGTATGTAAAGCTGTTTGGGTTACAGTGATCAACCTGGCTCCTAATCCAAATTTGACCCTCAGTGAACCCGTTTTAGTGGCCTGAGTCTACCGTCTTTATCCTTGAAGTTAAAAGGCTTGTGTGTGTGTCTGTGTGTGTGGGGGGGGGGGGGGGAGGTACTGTGTGTGGTTTTTGACACTGAAGTCCTGAGAAGTCTGAGCTGCACTTTGACATTTCCCTTTAAAACACCCTTAATGGAGCTATTATCAGCAAAACAGCTGATTAAAAAATCAACATATTATCTCTAATAAATCTACTCCGCACCTTCAGAGGTCATGTATTCTGTGCCATAGATGCTATAGGTCATTAATTATGTTCTAAACGCTCTGAATCAAATTCTGTTAAAAGCTATGTCGCCTACTGTTCCTGTTGTTTCTCATGTTACTGAGCATGAGGACTCAACAGATGATAAACCTCAAGGTCTGACAGGATCTCTTCATTTGCTTCCCCACATGTGCTCTACCTTTTCCCTTCATCTAAAAACACCTTTGGTGGAGCTTTAGTGTCTGTTATTACAGTTTGCTCTCCTCCTCTCCGTCTACATTTTGATCCCAGCATACAGCTCGTCTATCTGGGATCTGAAGCGTTGCCGCAGATCGTTCCTCTTGGCCTTCAGGGTCGGAGTGAGCAGGCCGGACTCGATTGAGAACAGTTCGGTGTGGACGTAGATGGACTTCACCTAAAGAACACACACGTGTGGGCAGGTTGTTAGAGACCATGATAAAACAGAGAAACACTACAAAGGCTACAGAGACACTCAGGAAAATGTATGTCAAATCCCGGTTGGATTATGAGCGAGTGTTTTACCTGCTCAAAGGACTTGAGGCCTCCTTCCTTGCCTAGTAGCACCATATCCTCCATGATGGCTCTCTTAACATCCTGAGCAGACAGATAGAGAGAGGTACCTCAGAATGATGATGTCATAAGTTCTTTCAATTAACACTCAGTGTATGGGTTATGGTTTTCTAAAAATAAAATCAAGATTAAATATGTTTTTGGCCCAACTCACAACCCTCAAGCCAAGTTCCTAGTTTCTCATTCCAGGCAATTTTTGCAGTCTTGTACACAAGCCAAGAACAGTTGTTATTTTATTTAATGCTGTTTTCTCAAGATCACAAGTTAATTATTTTAACAGCAGAAGTACCTCTTACAGCCCGTTTCCACCGCAGGAATTTAGGGGTAATTTTAAGGGGCCGGGGCCATTGGTGCGTGTCTCCACCGCAGGAACCACCCCCGAAGGACAGAGTTCCAGAACTTTTACGGGGGCTAAACAAGTCCCTGCCTCGGGGTAGGCACTCAGAACGGCCCCGAAAGACTCCTGGCTGGGGCTTGGGGATTACTTGGTGCTGATTGGATATACTCAAGGAGGGATGTGACGACAACAGAAAGCAACAAAATAGCCCGCATTTTTAAAACTCAGCAGACGAGGATTAGCTCGTTTATATAGCTTCCTCCGCCATGTAAAAAAAACTCACTAAATGGCCCGTGAAAAAAATATTCTTTCCAGCGGATATCTTAGTTCCAACATGATTGAGCTAGCAAAGCAGTTTTGTGTTGCTATGTGTGGTATTTATTCAGTTATGGGAAATCACGATGTCTAGAAAGCATCAGTGGCTGCCGCTGACAGGGACAGCTAACAGCAGGCTAATATCAGGACGTCATCTGTTAAAAGCCTCCCGTTGTCGGATGCGACATGAAACTACTCCAGTTAGCTCAATCATGTTGTAACTAAGACATCCACTGGAAAAAAAAATTTTTTCACGGGCCATTTAGTGAGTTATTACAGACACCGCTAAGGGCTATCAGCTAATGGCGTCCCTACGTCGCCAAGTAAATGGTCGTGCAACGATTACGTCACATCCATAGCCCGTAACTTTACAGGAACCCTCCTCGTACTCCGCTCTCTCAGTGGAGACACGGCGGTTGAGAGGGCCGAACGAGAGGACGTTCCTGTAGTAGTTCCTGCCCCCCAAATAGTACCAGGAACTTCTTCAGTGGAAACGGGCCTTTAGTGTACATGTATCCTTGGTATCACTGCTCTTTATGAAGAGACTGGTTGGTTAACTCTATTAATCTGAAGGGAAATGGATTTACAGTGTGGGCAGTGTGTGTAAACAGCATGTATGCAGTCTGAATGTCACTGGATACTGTGACCAAACTCTGTGAAGTATTACCGCTCTGCCACATAGTTCCTGGTAGCTGCCCTCAAGCCCCATGGTCCTCTTGGCCCAGCCACACAGGAAGTCGGGATCAGGCACCACCACTGCTACCAGACATGCCTGGAGATAAACACAATGTTTACAAGTTAAATACAGCATGTTTCATGGCTTCAAACGATGATGAAAACAAGATAATAACGACACATGCCGTTTTGCAATGATGCTCTTGTTTTGTGTTGCGTTATAAATCCAGTGCACACCTTTCCTTTACAGTCGAACTCACAGTGTTGCTAGAATTAGCGACTTTTCAGACCCTATTGGTGACTTTATTGCTAACAACCAACTAGTGACAAACTTAGCAACTTATTCACATCATCAAGGAAAAAGTTATCGCAGTCTACGGCTCTTGTGGCAACAGCGCCGGGTCTCTCCCTCTCCCCTTGCACTGTGTGTATGTTTACGATATACAGTACAGGCCAAAAGTTTGGACACACCTTCTCATTCAATGCGTTTTCTTTATTTTCATGACTATTTACATTGTAGATTCTCACTGAAGGCATCAAAACTATGAATGAACACATGCGGAGTTATGTACTTAACAAAAAAAGGTGAAATAACTGAAAACATATTTTATATTCTAGTTTCTTCAAAATAGCCACCCTTTGCTCTGATTACTACTTTGCACACTCTTGGCATTCTCTCCATGAGCTTCAAGAGGTAGTCACCTGAAATGGTTTTCCAACAGTCTTGAAGGAGTTCCCAGAGGTGTTTAGCACTTGTTGGCCCCTTTGCCTTCACTCTGCGGTCCAGCTCACCCCAAACCATCTCGATTGGGTTCAGGTCCGGTGACTGTGGAGGCCAGGTCATCTGCCGCAGCACTCCATCACTCTCCTTCTTGGTCAAATAGCCCTTACACAGCCTGGAGGTGTGTTTGGGCTCATTGTCCTGTTGAAAAATAAATGATTGTCCAACTAAACGCAAACCGGATGGGATGGCATGTCGCTGCAGGATGCTGTGGTAGCCATGCTGGTTCAGTGTGCCTTCAATTTTGAATAAATCCCCAACAGTGTCACCAGCAAAACACCCCCACACCATCACACCTCCTCCTCCATGTTTCACAGTGGGAACCAGGCATGTGGAATCCATCCGTTCACCTTTTCTGCGTCTCACAAAGACACGGCGGTTGGAACCAAAGATCTCAAATTTGGACTCATCAGACCAAAGCACAGATTTCCACTGGTCTAATGTCCATTCCTTGTGTTTCTTGGCCCAAACAAATCTCTTCTGCTTGTTGCCTCTCCTTAGCAGTGGTTTCCTAGCAGCTATTTGACCATGAAGGCCTGATTCGCGCAGTCTCCTCTTAACAGTTGTTCTAGAGATGGGTCTGCTGCTAGAACTCTGTGTGGCATTCATCTGGTCTCTGATCTGAGCTGCTGTTAACTTGCCATTTCTGAGGCTGGTGACTCGGATGAACTTATCCTCAGAAGCAGAGGTGACTCTTGGTCTTCCTTTCCTGGGTCGGTCCTCATGTGTGCCAGTTTCGTTGTAGCGCTTGATGGTTTTTGCGACTCCACTTGGGGACACATTTAAAGTTTTTGCAATTTTCCGGACTGACTGACCTTCATTTCTTAAAGTAATGATGGCCACTCGTTTTTCTTTAGTTAGCTGATTGGTTCTTGCCATAATATGAATTTTAACAGTTGTCCAATAGGGCTGTCAGCTGTGTATTAACCTGACTTCTGCACAACACAACTGATGGTCCCAACCCCATTGATAAAGCAAGAAATTCTACTAATTAACCCTGATAAGGCACACCTGTGAAGTGGAAACCATTTCAGGTGACTACCTCTTGAAGCTCATGGAGAGAATGCCAAGAGTGTGCAAAGCAGTAATCAGAGCAAAGGGTGGCTATTTTGAAGAAACTAGAATATAAAACATGTTTTCAGTTATTTCACCTTTTTTTGTTAAGTACATAACTCCACGTGTTCATTCATAGTTTTGATGCCTTCAGTGAGAATCTACAATGTAAATAGTCATGAAAATAAAGAAAACGCATTGAATGAGAAGGTGTGTCCAAACTTTTGGCCTGTACTGTAGATAATATATTATTTATTTCATTTATTTATCTCAGTTTTTATTTTACTTTTTTATTTTTCAGTTGAATTATATATAAAGTTCAAGAATATCCAATGGTAAATAGAAATTTAAATAAAAAAGTTCGTGATGATGAATGATGTTTCAAAAGTCACTGAGTAATGCTGTTAATCATGATGTCAGCACTGACCAAAATAATTGTGATTATGCTGTTTGCAATAATTGAGCAGCCCTAACTAAGAGACACTGAAGGTTTAACAAAGGGAACAGAGATCAGAATGAGTCAGGACTAAAACTGTGGGCCGAGCATTTTCCTCATTGACAGCTGAAGAGGTAACAATATGACACACATCTGCGCTCAGTCATGTTTACACCTGGTCTTATCATGTGTCCTGGTGATCTAATCACAAGCAGACAGCTCAAAGTCTGTCAGCTCACACCTGGCAATGAAAAGTGTCTCCACATGTGTCTCTCATGACCACTTGTGATCTGATCTCATGCCCCCGCTCTATATGCAAATAAACATGGACCAAATGTGTTGTTGTTAATTATTGTTTAAGTTATCTGAGTAGGTGGCCCTTTAATGTGGCCCAGGACACATTAGCGTACACACTGCTGAAAGAATGTGGCCATGTACATTTACATCTGTACTGAGAGCTATCGACTTGTGATCTGATCACTGCAATTCCAGCTGTACACAGGGACACACACACACACACACACACACACACACACACCAAATTTCCTCCACCTACCTGCAGACTGTCTCCATGCACAAAGACCTGTGCCAATGCATCACTCCTAATGTAGACATTCTCTATCTTCTCAGGAGCAATGTACTCCCCCTGTGCCAGCTTAAAGATGTGCTTCTTCCTGTCCACGATCTTTAGCGTGCCATTCTGTAAACACACAGAATTTCATTTTAAGCTGTCAGAGATACAGAATTTTATGACTGTAGCTATATGAGTAAAGTCGAGATGAACAAAGTGAGGTTTATACAAAAAATATGTGAGTTTGAACTCAACCAATAAATGAACCTACAGGAAGCCATTTTCCAATGTCCCCAGTGTGAAGCCATCCATCTGCATCAATAGCCTCCGCAGTCTTCTCGGGATCCTTCAGATAGCCCAGGAACACGTTAGGACCCTTCACACACACCTAGAAACACACACACTTATGAATGACGTACATCATTGTAACATATATAAGAGGCACGATGTCTGTTTGTCTTTGTGCTTCACCTCTCCCTCTCCGTTTGCAGCCAGGTAGTTCATCTCAGGCACATCTACCACTTTAAGTGAGTTACATGGCAGAGGAGCTCCAACGTGACCTGCAGACATGAGGTCAAGTTTATTTACTTCAAAGCAGACTATCAGTCATCTTTTACAAAGCTACATGCTGTAAGTTAAGAATATAAAAGGTATGTCAAGAAGCTTTTTTATCATTACCTGCAGCCCATTCCCCAGGCATGGTCATGGTGCATCCAGCGGTACACTCCGTTTGTCCGTAGCCTTCATAGAACTGAGACAAAGAGAAAAAACTATGATTGTAATTACTATCACTGCTGCTACAAGCATAAAGTAATGCTATGTAAAATGTGGGAACAGAGGAGTGTGGAAGAGGAAATGATATCAGATCAGACAGCAGTATTTCTACACATTACCTACTGTGGTGCATGGCAGGATTCCAGGAGAGGTGATGATAAGAGACAAGATAACATGTTAACAAGGGCTAAACTCTTACCTGACAGCCCATTGCAGCTCTGAGGAAGGTGAGGACAGCAGGAGAGATGGGAGCAGCTCCGGTTAGTATGAGACGCACACGACCTCCAAGGCTGGCCTGTAGATGGCAGCATACCACATTAATAAACGATGACACGCATCAGTTGCATCCACAACAAATTAATAAAAAAAATTCATGTTTATACCAAAACTGTTACTAAAAGACTCTAAAATTCAGACGCTTGGTTGATTTTGAAACTACACACAACATGTATGAGCTCAATAACAAATCACTACCACACATAGGCCAAACGTTGTGAGAGGTCAACATGATTTGAGCGGAAGATTTTAAGAAACAAACGGTCAGGACTAATTTAGGAAATATTTCTGCTTATTGAGTGAATTTATTGAGCAGTTGTGGCAAAAGTCTGATGTTGTCTGATGAGTCACTTTTTGACTAAAAGTAGCATTTTTGGGCACACTGTAATAACTCAGTGTTCACAGTCTAAACATTAAGAAATGTCACATGTTCATATCAAACAAGGTGGCCAAAGTTTCAAATAATGAAGTAAACCTCTGGAAACAAACACTTCTTGTTTTCTTCTATGTCTGAGACAAGCTGACATCAGCTGTTTGTGGATTTCTTTATATGATCATCTCCTTCAGGCATGCTACAATCTTGGAACCCATCAGCTATCATCAGACTATGATAAGCCTCGAGGGGCAAGGGCCAATATTTCGTGCTGATTCAGTGCAGCCAGTGGAGATCTGATCTAAGACTTCGTCCTCCATGCTCCGGTCATTTCAGCTAATCTTTATTAACAGCCATCTGCATACACATGCCGTTCAAATATGATTGGTCAATACTACTCAAACTACAAATGGAAACCAGAACACACAGAACACGGATACTATAATCTTGTCTGTTTATAGAGATTAAGCACACTACGGCATGTGTTTTCATTATATACACTGCTACATGTAGCCACATGCTAACGTCAGGGAAACATGTAATCTTGGTTGCCTATATTTCCTGATTTCAGATGATAATCCTGCTGGAATATGTCCGGTTGTGAAGATTTTGGTTTTAACATTTTCATTGGGGATTTTTCACGGTGGAAAGTGACACTATACTCAGTTACGGTCAATATCTTTCTTCCTACTATGGCACAGGCATGACTCGCCCCACTCACCTCCGATAAGCTCACCCTTATATTCTTACCCCAACTCTAACCAATCTGACTTCTCATGCCTAAACCTAACCAACCCAATTAATGAAGGAAACGAGTACTAACCAAATCAGAGGCAAAATACAAGTATGAATCTGAGAATGAACATAATAGTTCCCTTTAACTGTGCTGGCTCTACATACCTGGACCTTCCGGAAGATGAGTCGATCCCAGATAGTGTCTCTCCTCATGATGCCTTTCTTCATCTCTGCCTCCTTCCTCCTGTAGGCAAATTCCAGCAGCCAGCGCTTCAAGGAGGTGTTGGCCTGCCCCAAAATCTACAGGGACACACAAACACAAAAGCTTGCCATAACTACTGAGAACAGCTTCATCATTATCCTGAATGTTTATGAAGCATGTGCTTCGTCTAAAATCTGAGCTAACACTCCTGTTTGTAAGCCTGTCATCATCGTGCCCACCTACCTTATCATACATTCTATTTAGGAGTCGGGGTACCACAGGGAACACAGTAGGTTTTAGTGTGGTCAGATCATCTGACAGCAGACGAATATCTCCCTGGAAGAAGCCGATTCTGGCTCCCTCCACTATCATCAGTGCCTGTCAGCAATTCCAGAAAGACACAGAGGGTTCAAGTTCAAAAAGGTCCCCATAACTATGAAACCATTACTAAGAGAGGTTAACACACAGGGATTGAAGGATTATTAATCTATCTTTAACACAGGGTGACTATGGGAACTAAGGGAACATACAATACCTGTACTACTCTCTCAAACATGTGAGCCAGGGGCAGGAAGGATATATGGACGTCACTGGGAGATATTGGACAGGAAACCTAAAACCCGTGCACACACAGACAGAAATACAAACACACACACATGGGGGGACATTGTTGTACAAACACATGCCAATGGACATGACCCAGACAGAAGGACAGACAGACAGACAGACAGACACACACACACAGGAAGAGAAAGTAATCAATGTTAATGTTTGTACCTCCACCACCCTCTCAAACATGTGGGCCAGAGGTAGAAAAGACAGCATGACATCATTTGTGTTGGCCCGAACATAAGACTGGAGAGAAGAAGGAAGAGTTTACCAAAGGCTCTTGCTCTTCAAAAATAACACTGACGTTTTTACCTTTGAAATTATGGTGACACTTTTTACAAAAACAAAAAAAACATGAATTACCGCCCTGCAGTTGTATGCCTCTACAAACCAGTCAATTTGCAGTTACAGGTTACATCCATGTCTGTTCAGACTCATAAGAAGCCATGACAGTTGACAATGCCTTAAATAGGCTATGAATATTATTTTATTATAAACGTGGATGCTTAACACACATCACAACACGGCAGCACAGAAGGTCTATACAATCAACAAAGTTTCAAGGTGGGCAACCAAGTTTGGTGGAACCTGTACAGTTCATCATTTTATCCTATTAGACATTTGTGTGAAATTTTGTCATAATTAGTGTGTGAATTCTGAAATAAAGGCCAAAAGATGTTTTGTCAGGTCACACTGACCTTCAACCACTAGAGTCTAATCAGTTCACTCTTAAATCCAAGTGGACGTTTGTGCCCTCAAGGTCTTCTTAAGATATTGTGTTTATGAGAATGAGGCTAATGCAAGGTCAGAGTGACCTTGACCTTAGACCACCAAATTCCAATCAGTTTATTGTTGAGGCCCAAAGGACATTTGTGCCAAATTCAAGGAAATTCCTTCAAGGCCTTCTTGAGATATAGGGCTCTAGTTTCCCGGCGCAGCACAGGGTGACGAACCCCACGCAGAGCTAGTTTCGAGCAGAGCAACCCGAGGCACGCTCAGTTTGGTAGTTTGGCAGACCAAGGTGCACTGAGATGGGTGTGGTGGCGCAGCAGGGGGAGGTGTCGACAGATCCAGCTTGGCGCAGTGACAGTTTTGTGCCAAAAGGCTTCGCCGAAGATGCGCTAAAAGCTCGCCAGCAGATCAAAGGGGATTGGCACCGTTTGGCACGTTTGGCACGCGTAATGGAAACCCAACTTGATTTGATTAACACAGCTGCAAACTAATGAGTTTACATCCCTCTCAGCCAACCACAAACAGCCACAGCATCAGATAGGGAGTATATATTCAGAAACTGTCATCTTAGAAAAGTCAAAAGAAAAGAAACAGAGTGAGACTGTGAGAGAGAAAGAGAGAGAGAGCGCGCACACGAGAGAAACTCAACATTGATTTACAATTGTGGTGACCTCCTCCCAGGCTACCTTTGCATCATCAGCCCGTGGAGGTCTGCTCGCAGTTCCGTATATTCGGACACTGCGAGCTTGGACCTCCCGGACCAAAACATCAGTTTCCTCCTGGGAGAAGTTTGGCCGTCTGACGCTGCTGCTCTCTTCTGCCATGGCGAATTGAGTAAACTCTCATTACGCCTTCGCGCGGCGCATTTAAGGGTGAGGAGAGGGGCTCATTTGATTGGTGTGATGTGAATGGGCTGTGTAAAATCCACTCCATGCCTTCTCTCCTCCCTCTTTCCAACTTGCACAGGTAGGAGGGACAGAGATGGGAAAGACGAGTAGCTGCGCCAGCGCACACGGTGTGCCAAACTTGCAAAATCCGCCTGGCCACACCCAGTTGGCGAAGCGCAGGTGTGCTGTGCCTCCGCTGTGCCCGGTCTGCGAAACTAGAGCCCATAATGTTCACAAGAATGAGACAATTGCTAGATCACAGTGACCTTGACCTTTGACAACCAAAATCTAATAAGTTCATCCTTGAGCCTGACCAAATATTTGTCCCAAATTTAAAGACATTTCCTTCAGGCATTCTTGAGATAATGTGTTCACAAGAATGTGACAGACAGACCACCTGAAAACATAATGCCAAAGGCCACAGCTATCACCAGCATGGAGGCATAAAAGCTTCATCGCAGTCAGGCTGCTTTAACCTCCCACTCTGTTTTGTTTACTTTGCTGTCTATCTGTGCTGTCACTGCATCTCACCATGTTCCAGGCAGCCAATCTGACTTATTTCCAAAGAAGACAGTCAGCTCCCACACATACACACATCATCTCTGCATTGATTTATTTTCAAAGTCATCGTTTCGGTCACAATGACCTTTCACAAGATATATTTAATCTGACACCAAATCTGAGTTACTCCTGTCCAATTACATTTTAATCTTTGGTTTCTCCTTTGGGTTTTTTCGTGGTAAATCTGTTGAAGTACAGCAGTGACAACAGCATGTTAGTTATACCTGTAATATGGCAGAATTACAGACACTGTAATAAATATATTTTTTACAAGTTCTTATCCTGTGTCCCTGTGTGAAGTCAAGTTAGTTATCTCTTGTTTAATGTCATGTTTGATGTTTATCTTAAAAAAATGTCCAGGAAGACAGAGAAGGAAATCTACCTCCTGGTTGATTTAAATCCCTCTAAAACTTGTATTACTACAGAGATCCTAAAGTCTCGAAAGGTGATATTTCTTTAACTTTTTCCTACAAGATCATTAACTTGTGCCCACAAAATTAAAAAAATATCATCTTTCGGGACTTTAGGGGCTCCTTATATCACAAAAACTAAAGATGCTCTAACTTTTGTTTCACTGTAACTTCAACTGCTCAAGTGCCACATCAGTGCCTCACCTTTGTCAGTTTGATGAAAGCCGAGCAGTTGGACACAATGTTCTTATGTGTGATCATAGCTCCCTTAGGGTTTCCTGAAAGCAAACACACACAAAGCACACATGCATCTTTAGAGGCTGAATGTACATGGGGTATGAATTTCCAAATACTCATGGAAATTACATTAGGTGCAGTTAATTCTGTGTGTGTGTGTGTGTGTGTGTGTGTGTGTGTGTGCGTGTGTGTGTGTGTGTGTCACCTGTTGTTCCGCTGGTGAAGCAGATAATGGCCATGTCGTCAGGTTGTGGAGGCTGCGGGGATGGGGGTGTCAACAGTCAAACATCGCCACATAACACGTCATTTAAGGGGTGACTAGTACTACGTCATTTACTGGCCGGTATTTACTTACCACTGGTTGGCGATGGTTGGCCTTCCCGATGGCCTGCACAACAAGAAAAACACATTTATGAAGGCATTGTAGAGGGAATAAAGAGACAAAGTAAGACAAGAAAGCAAGTAATAAAGACAATCTAATAGAAAAAAAAAACAAGATAAATGGAATGAAGAAAACACAAGAAGGAAACTAGCAAGAAGAGAGCACAAATTAAATGAATTTGAACAAAAGCAATATATGAAAGGAAAGTAAGAACAAAACAAGCTGGCAAGAAAATTAACACAAAAATACAAAAAAGCATGACAAAACAAAAACTAAACAACAATGCAAAGACCCAGAAGAAGAACTAAGTTAAAGAGAAACAAAAAAAAAGAGAAAATGGAAGGTGAGAGTAAAATAACCGAAGCTGACCTCCATCTCCTGCAGGCTGAGGATGTGGATTCCAGCCTCTTTTCCCCTGTTGACCAGCTCGTCACTGGGGGTCTCCATGAGCACGATGGTTTTCACAGTGTGTTCCCTGTCCCCGACACAGTTCAGTACGAGGTTAGCTTTATCCACCACGTCACACACTATAGTCGAGATGGAAGCTTCAGAAACAACAGACAGATAAGGTTACATGAAGGTCTTCACCAACAACAACATTGACATATATGAAGCATCTGAATGTATGAGATTATGTTGATGATGCTGTGGTTTACCTTGGTCTATGATGTAGTTGATGGCTTCTGTTCCCAGTGTGTCGTACAGAGGCACTGACACAAGAGAATAGGTGTAACATGCCAGCTCACTGATGGTCCACTACACACAGACAAACACACACACACACAAGCATTATAGGGTAATCCATTCTTAGAGTTCATTGTTGACTTTACAGATAATTTACTACTATGTTTAGTTGCGCTTTTTAGCCCGCCTCAATTGGACTACGGTTTGTTTTTCCTCTTGGTGGAACAGGTAAGATAAGATAAGATAAGATAAGATAAGATAAGATAAGTTTATTTAGCTCCTTTAACTTTAGCTTTAGTTATGCTATGTAGCGTGTGAAATAGAGTGTGGTGAATGTGCTAGGAAAGGTAGTATCAGCCCTGCTTCTACCTAGAGCTTGCATGTACGGAGCCTGGGTTTGGTTGAAGGTGGCAGTGCTGTTTGGGCTGAGAAAGCCATGTGTAAGTAAGGTAAAGGAGGTTATTGGGTTGGTGCAGGGAGGGGAGCAGTGAGACCTGGCATTAGGGGAGTGTCTCTGGGACGCTAGAGATCACTGTCTAGCCTCCTGGAGGTGTCGTGGGACCAACTAGACGAAACACTGGTGAAAGGAGGTTCCCACCCGATGACCCCAAAGACATGCTAGTTGTCACTGCTCATTGGTTTGTATAGTTAAGCCTTGCCATATTAGCTTATCATAGGGCTTAGGTTTTTCACTGAGTGTTGATCCTTTCTCTAGAGCACAAACTTCTTGTGTTTATTTGAACTGAAGATACACCTTTATTGATCCCATAATTGAGAAATTCCAGTGTTACAGCAGTCAAGGAGAAAGAGTCAGATTAAAGATTTCAAAATTAAACTTAAAAAACTTAAATAACTAGGCATGCAAATAAGTACAAAAATACAAGAGACGGTGATAACAATAACAATAATAATAATAATGATGAAAATAATAGGAAGTGGATAATAATGAGCACCAGTGAATGAAAATGAGCAAAAAATGAGCAGTGGATAAAGGGAGCACATCTAGTGCAAGTGATTGTATGTGCACAACAGCAGACAGCTGTGGTGTCCATAAAGTGTAGGTATGAACACAGTAACAGAACTTGGGTGAAGACCAAAACAGTAGCACCAGCTCTATAAACGCTAAAGTCTGTCCATGAACGAGCGATGACGTTACACCATTGGTCAGAATGGCTGATGACGTCAGAGTTGGTGCGTCCCCATTTTGAAATGAAAAGGTGCAGACAGAACTGTGGTGAGAAAGACCTTGTTTTGTAAAGTGAAAACTATGTCCCTCAGTGGAAACAAAAGTTTGATCTACTTTTATTTCACAGATAAGAAACAATAAACTGTAAAGACAATAAAGTCCCCATAAAATTGCATTGGAAGTCTAGTGTCTTGTTATGAGTAGAGGAAATGTCTGCTAGCTGCTAGGCTAATTAATGCAATGGTAAATATCATAGGCTTGTGCTTATAGCGTTAGCATGTTGGATTTGTGGGGAATACATGTCCTGCAGACCGCTTTATCTGTGAACCTTGTGAGCCGAATTGAGCCCAATTCTGTACTTTGTTTATTACTGTTGCGGTAAAGCCATGTTTCAAGTGTTTTAGGTGTGTTTGTTGAATAAATCAAACTTCACTGCACCTCACCTCACAGAAACTCAAAACAATGGCAATGAAACCCCACCACCAACTTGAGGGCGGTGTAATTGTATAGTGACCTCGATACATCACTGCACATGTATAAATTCTCATACAATTTAAGCTAAATGCTCACAATGGCGTAGGCCACTTGATAGTCTACAACTATAAATCTGCCTTTACATCACCAGCCAGAGCTGAAGAGGGGAGGGTTGTGTTAAATGGAGCAAAAACAGCTTGATCAGTAGGTACAACTCCAGAGAAAGTAGGTCGTGTCTGCTGTGTGAGTGTGCACAAAAGTGTACTTTTCTCCTTTTTCAGATGCATTTACATTAATTTTTTGCCTGGACTGCCACAGTGGGGCCAGTGCTGTGGACAAACATCTGTGACTATTTCGCCACTTCCTGTTTCAAATTTAAAGCCATCCGTTCAAATTAAAAGCCCTCTAACATTCATACACAGTCCAGCTATATACCAGGTTCTGGCCTAGTCTTGTTCTTAATGAAAAGAAAGCGAACCAGGGTTTACAAACTCACCAACTGACTTGAACCAGAGCAAACACACTGTGGGTGTGAACCATTTTTTTCTAATTATGGCAAAATGGCACCAAACATAGGCTGAACTAGCTTTTAGAAGTTCCTGTTTGAAGAAACTGAAGAAAACGTCAGGCAAGTTCTGAAGTGCTCTGATTTCTAAGCAGATTTTTTGACGTTTATGCGCAGTGGACATTGGAAATAACAATATCCTCAGTAAGTGTAAGTCACACTGAATCTAAAAATATGCATGTGTCTATGTGTTCAGATTTAACGGAATTATGAGTCAGAGAAAGAGTGTGATTTTGACGCAAATTTGACGGCTAGTAATTGGGCACTATGGGTAAAGGGTACATGTCTGTACCTCCGGTCTGTTCTGAGAGAAGATGCCAATGTGGGGGTCGGTGGTCTTGGAGTGTCCTTTGTGGAGAAATGCCGAACCCAGATTCTCTGTTCGCTCCATTACCTAAGAAATACACACACACACACACACACACACCTGTTAATGCTGCAGCAACAAACAACGACATAAACTGAGCTTTGTTTGACCTCATTTTAAATCAAACATAAGGGCATGTGCCTGCAGCAGTTGGCAGTAATAAGTCAAAACACCTAAACACAATGTGTTCACTCACTCATTCAGTTCACACTGGAATGTTTAATTGATATTTCAATAATAGTTGTCAAGCTCAATTAATGTTTAACGATCAGTGACAGACAATTAACAAACAATTCTCGTCCCTATAAAAAGTAATAGCTAGTAAATGCAAACTAATTTTAAATGTGTTGTGGTTAAAAAAATCACTAAATCACTAAAACCTCATAGTCCATACAGAAACATTAAAGGGATATTACACAAGGCTCAAAATGATTAACTAAGTGAATGCAGTGGCCCAGATTAAATACATGTTAATGGCATTCACTATCAGTATGCTTGTAACATACATCTGAATTAAACAATTACTTTCACTTACCAGGTGACGCCTTTTTATTTTGTTTTGTTTTGTTTTTTTTAAAAACTCTTCTTCACATCAAAACAATGAAGAGTTGAATATTAAAGTGACATGTTACTGATAGTAGAGTTAAACATTACCTCTTACATGCCTCGCTTACATAACAGTAATATGATAGCTATAATAAAATTAATTTCACACTTACAGGGGTAACTGAGAGATTTCATGTTGCACTTCCATAACATTAGGGGACTTAGTAGGAACTCTTTTAATGGTTAATGTTTGTGCAGCAGAAGCTGAGATATCCTGACTTTTCATGACTGGTATGGGTAAATCTTTGAAAATACTGGAACCTACCCCATAATGCACCTTGGTAACATTTTCCACCAAACTCTTCCTGCCACATAAATTCCCATGACTTTTAAACCTCACAATCCTAGTTTGTAACATAACCTTTCTGTTATACATCTGTAGACTCCCACCTCAAGCTGAGAAAATAACCCTGATGACATAACCTGGGTTATTTTCTCAGACCTGACAAAACTTCAGAGCCACAGAGGACATCGGACGACTGTTTTCACAAGCTAAGTGATACTCATGACTTGATGGGTAAAACTGGTGAAATGCCCCTTTAATTATCATTTACAGAGCAAAATAAAATACAATTCATCAAATAAGCTTTTTTAAAAACTAAATTCGAACATAAAAGCATGCAGGTTTTATTTGCCTCACCATGTCAACCTTTGGCTCTATTGCTGTCGAACCGGAGGCTATAATGTGTTAATAAGGTGAGCTGCTCATGGTTACTCTTACCTCTCTGTAGGACATCCACTCATAGGGCTGCTTTGGTTTCCTGGAGCCCAGACAGGGACCATTATCTTTAAGATGGAAGGAGAGCAACAGAAGAGGAGAGAGAGAAGAGGAATCAAAAACAATGAGAATTTTAAGTATATTAAATCTTAAATTCTTAAATCTTAAATTAGTATATTAAATATTCAGAATCAAGAATAAAGAATCGACTTCAGTGAAAGTAGAAGTAAAGTAAATGTTATGTTAAATCAAGATCTCTAGTCTCTCTCTAGTTTAGTGTAGTTACAGGAGATTAAAGGGATAGTGCACCCAAAAATGAGGCCCTGGTGAAGTTTTAGAGTCCTCACATCCCTTGCAGAGATCGGCGGGGGGAGCTGCCAGCACACCTAATGGCAGACGGCGCCCCAGACTAACGTCCAAGAACACAAAACTGAATCCATAAAGTATCTCCATACTGCTCATCCGTAGTGATCCAAGTGTTCTGAAGCCCCGACATAAAAAGTTGTTTGGAAAAACGTCATATGAACTCTGTTTTTAGCCTCACTGTAGCCTGTAGCTCTGACTGCTTCTCTGTGCTCCGCGTTCACGTGTGCGCGCTCAGGGTGATCGGTGATCTCTGAAGAACAGCAGTCTCGTCAGTACTGATGTCCAGATTCTCAAGCGCAGGCATCGCCAATTCCCAGTCTGAGCAGCAAAGACTTTCCTCACCCGTTGGCATTGCTTTGCATTTGAAACAACTACACCACCAGGTTTCCAGTGATCGACTCCGGTATTCTGCGGCTGGCTGAGGGTTCGGCTCATGAGCTGCGGCGGCTGCTTCGTCCAGTAGCCTGAGTTCCGTCCGTATACTCGGGCTCAAACAAATGCGGCTCAACAAAGAAATGCTGTTCCTCCTCAATTTCAAAGTCTTCAGACATGTTGGGCTGTCCTTTGCTAAAAGACCGTAGTGCAAATTATCTTTTAGCTCTGTGGTTACCATTGTCTCTCCCTGCGATGCACATGTCACGTGATGTAAACACGGGTGAGCAAAGCTCATGCTTTCGCTGGTCTTGCGCAGGCGCGCAAACATGAACGCGGAGCACAGGAGCATGCAGTCAGAGCTACAGGCTACAGTGAGGCTAAAAACAGAGTTCATATGACGTTTTTAGAAACAACTTTTTATGTTGGGGCTGCAGCACACTTGGATCACTACGGATGAGCAGTATGGAGATACTTTGTGGTTTCAATTTTGTGTTCTTGGAAGTTAGTCTGGGGCGCCATCTGCCATTAGGTGTGCTAGCCGCTCCCCCCACCGATCTCCGCAAGGGATGTGAGGACTCTAAAACTTCACCAGGGCCTCCATCGGCATATGGGTGAGTAAATAATGGTTGAATTTTCATTTTTGGGTGCACTATCCCTTTAAGCAGATGATGTTTGAGCCCCGTGTATGAGGAAGGGCTTATACTTTTTGGTCAACAGCCAGTCTGACAGGCCCTTGAGTAACTCAACAACAGAAAATATATACATCCATAGTAATACAACAATGTATTTGTGACTTACTGGAGAGTCGGACCCCTCTGAGGAAGAACTCATATATTGTTCTGGCATCATCGTAGACGTGTGTTAGGTGACTGTCTCCGTTCTGCAGAGCTGATCGTCGAGCAAACTCTCCGCCCTGATAAAATAAACAAATATGGGTTGTGAAATCTAAGAGTGATCCTATAGAAATGTCAACATCTCTTGACTCTTGCTTGGACATTTAATCGCTGAAAAACAGCACTAAACCAAAAAAAATTATTTTTTACATTTCTTTCATGTGTGATTTTCCAGGTTTCGAGGGGAACACTGATTAACAAATACATATATCATGCTGTATTGTCTTTTATATATGTTTTAATTATCTTTTGGTACAGTTCACCATGTGTATTAAAAAATAAACATAAAAAATACTGCATATCTGTTAACAGAAGTAGAAATGCTGGCTGCTACAAAACTAGAATTACTGCCTCGTGGTTGAATGCCTCCACCAACCAGTCAGGTTACAGTATAAATCCATGTCTGTCCAGATTCATTCACATGTGGATGTTGCTGCAAAGAAGCTACAATTCCTAAATGCTTCACACACATCTTCAACCTGGCAGTACAGCTGATCTATACAATCAGCACAGTTTCAAAGTGGACAGCCCAAATCAGTGTCACCAATTCAGTATCTGACCAAGTGTATCCCCTTCTGTTCCTGAGTTATTGCGTTATGGCATTGAATAAAGGTCAGAAAACATTGTGATGTCACCGTTTGACCTTTGCCCTTTTGGATAGGATAACTGTCATCACTTCAGCATTTCAGCCTGTTTGATATCTGTGTAGAATTTTGTCATAATTAGTGTATGAATTCTTCATGTTTTGTGAATTCATAGTGACCGCTGACCACCAAAATCTTAATAGTTCAGTGATGGGAAAATTTGAGGAAATTCCCTTAAGGCATTCTTGACATATCGTGTTCACAAGAATGTGATGAACAAACAGAATGAAAACATGATGCCTCTGAATACAACAACGAGTTGTCACATAAAAATGAAACTGCAGTTCTAAAATGTAGTTTCCTTTTTGAATTCACACTGAACATGGTCTTATATTAATGCAGTGATTAAGTCACGTTATAAGACCCTTCACACCATGACCTCAACTCCAAACTCAAATAGATATTTTCAGTTCCTGAACAACTCAATTCTAAGAGCTGGAACCTCTTTAACTTCACAGCCATGGTATGTTTGGCTTTGTGCTCTGAAGGTTTACAACCAAATGAAATCAGCAAAAATATTTTAATGATGAGACAAGCTCACACACACCCTTTGCACATAACTGTTTGCCTCACATACACGAGTGGTGTTACTACAGTGGAACTCAGTATCCTCTCATTCTCGCTTTAACAGCAGGGCTATCTATTTTATTAACCACCAACTGTGACAGTATCTGTCAATGTCCCTCTCTGTGTCATCTGACCTGATGACTTGCACCTGGGCTGGCAGCAAACCTAAAGTGGGTGTCTTAGAATACACATGCATTTGTCTTTTTTGTGAGTAAAGTATCAGTGACAATACTTTACATCCTGTGTGATCAGCCAACACAGCATGGGCTTTACACTTCAATTAGGTTTAATACCTGGCAGTTTTTTATGTTTAGTTAGTGTCGTACCAGCTTGTTTGTAGACGTTTGTTTGGGGCTTTTGTTTGTTTATACTGGTGTATACTTATTGCCTCTTTGAAAAAAAAGGGTGGGGCACACAGTGAAACAAGCTGCACCAGTAACAGCACACATTAACAGCCCATCTGTTTGGGCCAGGGTTGTGCCTGTCTGTATGCATTTGTTGCTAAAACAGATGCATATAGTAGGGTTATCCTAGCTGTTTTCTTAGTAATAGCAATGATGATTTATGAGACACTGCATGGGTCAATGTAACTATCCTGCTTTAGTTCTGATAACATCTTCATCATTTTTCAGAAGTTTTTACATTCCATTCATTGTTTTCAGCAACAGCACAATTACAGTGTGAAAAACTAATGATGCCTTCATCTGGCTTCTGAGATAAAGTCCATACATTTAACCTGCAACCCTTTAGAATACATTCATACTGCAGACAAATCATAGTTTTTTCTAAAATCATATATTTAAGAAAGACTGTTGGCACTATTCTTTGCAAGTGATCAAATTAGCTTTTTGTGTGTCCAGACCTCACTGACCTACCTGCAGGGGTTGCTGTGGTAACAACGCAGTGCTGCTAACACAACTTACCAACACAGAAGCACGAGAAATGTATTTCAGTGTCTGTCCACAGTGGAGTTATTATGATTTTTATATTTCATTAGATTTTACTTTATTTCATTTAAAATGTTTGTTTTCAATTCAGTTTACTTCCGTAAGGTTCCGGATTATTTGCTTGTGTCCGTTTAGTTTTCACTGTAAAGATGTTTAGTTTTTATTAGTTGCAGTATTGGTTTTAGGTTTTTTTTATTGATAGCTTGGGGGTATTTGTCAGAGGTTCAGAATAGGTATGACAATACAAACACAACACTTTGCAAAAGCACTTGACTACAGTCATGTAGACATTACCATATGCACCGTTGCCTTCTTATGCTTGCTGTGTTGGCAATTTTGACCAAATTGACAAAGAATAAAAATAAAGACAGTTCCTGTATATCTTTATCTAATTTAAATGAGTTTTATAAGTACACAATATCATGTCACTTAGTTTTCAGTTTTTCTGAAGTCAAGTTTGAATTTTTATTTCAGAGAACTAAAATGTTTTTTCGCCTCTGGTTTTAGTTTTTACCTTAGTTTTAGTTACAGATAATAAACTTGCTTCACAGACTGTTGTTCTCCATGTTGTCTTCTAATGCACGTTGCTGGTGGTAGCATTGATTCTGCTCAGCACCTCCATCACTCTAAATTTAATGCTGTCATTGTGTGTCACATTCAAAGACACTATGAAATCTGATTTGAGCAGCCACAGCGGCTGGACTGAGACATATCTATATAAATCTGATTAGAATCACATCGTCAAATCTAATTTGCAAGAACTGCACTTCATGTGTTCTTTTTGCAAATCAATCTAGATACAATCTGGATATAAAAAATGGATTCAGACTGCCAGTCTTAACAAGGCCTTAGATAACTGACACTGGAAAAATCTTTAACTCACCGGAATCTCAACTGACTGCATGTTGAGGTCGCAGAGTGGCAGGAGGGCCTTGGGCCGTGTTGCCAGGTAGTAGGTTGTCGCAGCAGCCACCGCTCCCATGCTGACCAACACTGGGGTGGACACATTCCTGATGTACTGGCTGACATCATCCAGAACTTGCAACTTCAACTTCTGCAAGAACTCCTGGCTCAGCATGATGCTGCTGATGAGGTAAAAGGTGAGTGTGTGCTTGTGGAGAGTGAACCTGTTAGTGCTTGTGTGTGGCGTGGAAAGTGTTTGTGTTTTAAATGGTTGACAGGTTGTGTTTGATAATGCTGAGCACTTTCTGTTGGCCCTGAGGTAAAGTTAAGAGTGTGTGTTACAGGGAGGAGTGTTTGTGGAGTGAAGCTGACCAGGAGGGGACCTAGAGGGAGAGGAGGAGGAGGAGGAGGAGGAGGAGGAGGAGGAGGAGGAGACAGGTCATTCATTTGTTTACATTTAACAAGTTCCCACAGCAAGTTTTATGGTCCCTAATTGTTTTTTGGAGGTTTGTTACTTTTAACCACTAAGCCATCACATGTGTCATTTTGGGTTTGTTTATACTGTAATTGTTAAACACAACCCTAGCCTCTAGTTATGAAGCATACATACAGTTGTATCCTCAGGATACAGAAATGAGCAGAGGTGAGACAAAATTGTTGTTTTGCGAGTCCTAAGTCAACGTTGCTGGCAGAGTGTAAATAGGTGACACTCCCACTGCAATTAATTTGCACTGGCACAGGGGAAAAACAAAACAAGCTCTTTGATGGAAACACAGTGCTAACTACTGGAGTGCACTGTGGCCAACTGTGTTCAACAGATTTAGACAGATTTAGATCTGAAGATAACATTTTTTTTTTTTGCCCATCTACCAATCGCTTGGCTGGAGTGTAGGTGGAATTGCAATAAACCAGGATTTTCTTTGGTAGTACAGTACAAGCAACAGATTTGTTTGTTTTTTGTTCACCAAATTTTTACCCCTTATGGGTTAGTGTGTAACTTCTGACACCTTCATGATGTAAATATTGAGAGTGTAAGCCATCTGAGTTTGTGCTTTAACTTGGAATACTACACATTTCTAGCAGGTGCAGGGACCCACCACCATAGGCGAATGATGTTAAATGGGCCCGAAGCATAAAAAACTCCCCTATCCCTTCAGGGCAGGTACTTAAATGGCCTAAATTGCTTTGAGCACTCAGCATATTTAAAGTCCTGTAGATAAACTGTATGTATCATGATGGTTTCTTTCTTGTGTCATCTTCAAAGTGAATGTTTAGGCTACTGCTTCAATTTGTCTTTTTTAGGACTTTTGAGGCTCAGTTCTTGACATGATAAATAAGCCCTTTGACAAGAAATACAAAGTTAGGGCCTGTGTCCACATAGTGTCTATTATCAGAGCGCTTTTTTGTAGGGATGTCCCGATCCGATCCTCGGATCAGGTATCGGCGCCGATCACATTATTTTTACAAAATCGCAATCGGTAATAAAAGATTGGAGGAATCAAAACAACAAAAATGGCCAGGTTTTTCATCTATGTTGTTCATTGTTGCCTCCGCTCTCCAATGTATAAAGATATAGGCCTATTTTGTTTGTTGACGCGAGGAAGAAGATATTGAATTTGTTTACATTTTGTGCTGCTGAACCACCAATAAGCTTTTTGGATACTATTTAAATAAAAAGCAAACCTTATGGGACAACTTGGATGCATTCTTTTTTTCTTTCTTAATGCTTTGCAAAGTATCGGATCGGACTTGGTTTCAAAATAAAGGACTCTGTATCGGATCGGATGCAAAAAAAATGTGATCGGGACATCCCTACTTTTTTGTGCTTCCGCTCCCAGCGCTACTAGTTGAAAACTTCCAAACTTTTCAGAAAGGCGACTAGGACGTCGCTTTCACTCCTTCAGCTAGTCTACCGTCACAGCAACCGACAGAAAAGCCCATTTGTGGGAGAAGATCAGCCAGCAGACACTGGAGAGTGTCATGCTTTTATCATCGCTCACATTGTAAGATTGATGTTAACTGTGTAGTCAGCCCTGTTAACATAGCCTTATGCTAGCTACCTAGCTAACATTAATTTCACGATATTGTTATCAAGGAAACAAAAACCACACACTGAGCATCATTATCATTATGAAGTTCTGGGATGAAGTGCTCCCCAGCACCCTACCACTGCTTTTCCGCTAATGAAAAACTCTACGTTAACACACCCTAAATAACAGCTACATCAGGCAGAGGCTCTGGCTTAGGGGACCCCTGAGCCCTTGGGCCTGATAGGCTTGTTTGGTAATACACCCACGTCCACAACAGGCCTGTTCCTGATTGGTGGAATGCCGCAGACACCCAGAGTGACACAATATATTTGTTTATGTTTACAGTAGCTAACAGCTTTTCAGTTCTGGGTTTACACAGTCCAACACAACTCTGCGTACCAATATGTTAATGCTTTCTTTGATTATGTGGCACAAAAAGCACTTGTGCAGTTTTTAAATTCTTGACTCCATTACTCACTCAAAGCAAACCGCCAGCGAAACTGTGTTTCTACTTCTACTGCCAAGTCCAGAGACCTTAAGCAACCTGTTCTACAGCTACTACCACAGAATAATAACAGGGGCTCATATTGCAGTATAATTAGATCTTATATCATATATTTAAAAGACTCTCTGAGGACAAGTTTAGCAGGTGTCGTATTCCCATGGTTTGTGTTCCTGTTAGACAGGGGTTCTCAGTGTTGTGAACACACAGATGAGGTGACAGACTGAAGGAGCTGTTTAAGAATAAACAGATTAGAAACAGAGTCTGAGGTCTTTAGAGGACAAAGAAGGGACAGGTCCACCTCCATGTGAACCTTGAGGATGAAGACAGTGACCTTAGTCCCACATTACAAGTTAACAATACAAACTGAGGGACACAATGATCACATCAAGATGTGACGGCCTTGACCTGACACCAAAGTTTACAACATCCAATCAGTCATCCATTACAGAGGGACCACAGGTCTGTTACTGTCATTCTTTACTTGATGATGAATGTTTCCACGTATAAAGCATGGAGATTACATTCTCATGAATCTTCTTAGTTTAAATAAAAATAAGAGGATTCTTATTTGTCTTATGTTGCACATAACTGAATGAAACATCTGACACTATTAAATATTTTTCATTTTTCAAGTTGGCCTTGGTGTGGTAAATTCCCCCTATAACATGGTCAATATATAATCAAACTTGTTACCATGCCTATCTTTTTAAAGAAGAATTTAAAACTGTGTATGACAGGGCATAAAACCACTGATGCATTGATCTTTACGAAGCCAGACTCAGTGGTCTAACAATGGTATGGCTTTCAGTGGTGGAAAAAAAATGTTTAAGTTCAAAAGTGAATCAAATCCTGACTTTGAAATTAAAAGTCCAATCAAATTGTGGATTTGGAGAATGTGACACCCCTAGCATGTTTTTGTGATATTTGTACTCCTAACAGTAAGCCACTATAGACCTATATAAAGGCCCAGTCATACAAAAAACAAACAAATTTTAAAAAAAAGTGAGCCACCATGAAACCAACAGAATTTTAAACAATACTGGGATACAAACTTTTGGTCATACCGCTCCGCACTTATCTATAGATTTCAATAACTACAACCACATTGTCTCTATCCTCTATAAGCACAGAGCTATTTCTGTATGCCAGTGTGCCGTTCTGTTCCCACTGATTTTCCTCCCCACTCACCTGTAACAGAAAGCAGCCACAAGAACCACAAGCTTTCCTTTTCCAGCCAAACCTCCCGTGACAGCGTCCCTGGGAATGCAGTCGTTACTGGTGCTACAGCAACCGGCACGCTCTGCTCTCACAAGGAGGATGCACAGATATACTACTGGCACCAAACACTTGCACTGCTCCTGTTACAGGCTGATGTGTAACCTCGGCTAATCTACCAATCAAAGGTCAGTCTGGCTCCAGGGAGGGCTCTGATTGGCTGGCTTTTGCAAGACAGTCATTGAGATTGACTCAGAGACTTGATGTAAACAATCAATGACCCGAAGACAAGATTAATGAGATAATAAAAGTTGGGGAACTGAATCATTGTGAGTTTTGGATCTTTGTGATTGCTGTTACCAACACAATAAAACAAATCACATATTTATTTAATACCACAATACAGCATAGTGCATCAACACACCTTGTTTTCTTACTCATCTCTGCATTAGCCAATCTGATTCTAGTAGACATGAATAGAAATTTGACTTCCCTAACTAAGTGCCTTGCAAAAGCCAGCAGGTTCAAGCAGTTGCTGGCTCCTCTCACCTTTCCCCCAGTGACCTCTGACCCCTGTGTGGGTAGCTGACATGATTAGACAAAGTGAGATAAACGCTGATGAAAGGGGAAAACTGCAGAGTAGTGAGGAAGCTGTCCTGTTGACTTATTTAGTTGTGGCAAATTCTGTTGCACCACATTGGGTCTGTGCTAAGAGTCCATTTATTAATTGTTTGATCCATAAAATGTCTCCAAATACTGAAAAATGCACACCACAATGTCCTATATTCCAAGGTGTAGTGTGAGATTTGTCTGACCAACAGTTCCAAACCCAAAGATATGTAGTTGTTCTCACATCCTCACAGTTGAGGCGATGTTTAGGGTTTTTGCTTGCAAGCTTGCCGATTTATTTTCTGTCAATTAATGAATCTCTTATTCGACTATTTGTTTTAACTGTGAAAACATTAGCATTTAAAATCACATTACATTAAGATTTTGTCAAGGACCTTTGGAAAACATCTGCTGTGTTCTTTAATTAAGTGTTTATGCTCGACATCTAGGCTGGAATTGTGTCACTGATTTGTCTTACTTCTATCATATCGTATAAGACAAATGCCTGAAGTGATTTATTTTACAATTACCCTATATTACTGAGGTCTGCTGCTAAATTCAGCATCATGTTTTACTCAGGATGAGCAGAAACTTAGCTGAGAAACATCACATTTATTCACTTTACATGGAGCTGAAATGAACACAGAATTATGTTAAATGTAAGTCATAAGAAATCTTAGATCATCTTTAATAAGAAGTAGATCTTTACTAAATTTAACATGTTAACAAAGCAAGGCAAGCTAATCGCTAACGTGCTTGGTTAAAAAGGAAAACAACCAATGCTTTGAGATGGCTGTCAGACATGACAGAGGTGTGATTACATTATCCCGCCTGAGGTGTAACAGTGGTGTGTTCCACATTTTATTTCCCAAAGAGGATTAGCGTACTGTTCAGTCCCATTACTGCCGGAAAACGCCGGTTAAGGTTCAGCACCTCAAGTCATGTCCATAATTCATGCAAGGTAGCATGCTGGTTAAGAATAAGGTGGATAAGTATGGTGTGACAAACATGTCTCAATCAGTGGATCAGATGAGTGAGTGAGTGAGTGACTGACTTAGAGAGAGACAAAGGAGAAAATAAGATTAAATTTGCTGTTGCATTCATTCTATGAAAGGCTGGATTATCAAACAGGTAAAAGGGGAAAAATACCTAAGGGTTAAACCCTCAGGAACACCAAGACCCCTGGGTTGACATGACCTCAAATGTTTTGCTGACATCAATATTGTCCGTTGCATGTTTGATGCATGTTTGTTTATGTCAGAAATGTACTAATATGGGGCGTTGGTGACTTAGTGGTGGAGCAGGCGCCCCATGTACAAGGCTGTTGCCGCAGCGGCCCGGGTTCGAATCCAGCCAGTAGCCCTTTGCTGCATGTCATCCCCTCTCTCTCTCCCCCTTCACGCTTACCTGTCCTGTCCATTAAAGGCAAAAATGGCCCAAAAAATATCTTTCAGTCGATGCCAGAATAAAAACTTAAAAGACTCTGGCACAGGTCCTGAGCATTTTATTACGGATGCTGCATTTTTGTTAACAGAGCTTGTTTTTATTCATTGTTTTTTTTTTGTGTGGTTTTATTCTATTTCCGTTTTATATATTTAGGATATTTAAGATATTTTTCAAATTCCAGTGTCTGAGTATTCTTAATATAATATCATGATAATGCAGTCACTCTGTTTTAAAGAGCAATGAACTTTATATTCTTATCATTATATCATTAGGATAAAGCTTTTCTATTTTTAAAATGACAGTAATATTGTTTATCACGATTATTTCTGGGACACCATATTGTCCAGCAATAGTGTCCCAGGAAACTAGTTATAGTGGCAGGCCCTCTTCTACTTCAATACATTTATTATAACTAGACAAACTTGACTGAACCCAAGTGTTTTAAGTCGTTAAAAAAAGCATCACTTTACAACAGTAAGATGCTGTTTATGCACTGTATTAACAATCATGTAATACATGCTAAAACATCAGTTACCGAGGCTAGTATCAAATACTTAAAGTACATTTTGCTGATACTTCTGTACTTTCAAGTATGATTCTAAATGCAGTCTGTTTACTGGTAATGGGGTATTGGTACTTTTGTAAAGGATCTTATTCGATCAGCTAAAAAACTTGAGTACAAGGATACACAAGTACCACATTCAATAAAGTACTCTGAAAATTTAGAAAGAGCAAGTTTGGTGGGCAGATGCAGCATCTTTATAAAATATTCTTCAGCTACTGCATAATCAAATCAATGTTGTTGAAGCACTTGATCTCTTTATCATAGCAGCCAGTCCATCTACACTCTAGCCTGAGAGCACCAGCGAGCAAAACGAGCGCCACCACATAAAGGGGGGCACTGGCAGAGCTGTCCAAGGACCAATGGCAGTAGGGTGGGTTGATGGAGGCAGCCAATCAGACACAAGTAACCTTTCACCTCAAAACCTGCACAGTGCCACTTGCAGTCATCTTTAAGGTCTCTGTCCACCTGCCTCATGTTTGCTGTGTGTACTGCTGTTTCTACACAAGGTCAATATTATCTTTCCTGCATTAATACAAACTAACACATATGCATGAACACACACCCGCCAGCCACCAGAATGCAAGTCCATGCTGAGCCGGTCATTGACCTCATATCTCACTGATAATCTTGATGCTGTATTTATCTTGATTGTACACTGGACACTACTGTAACTCTCACAGGACACAACTTCCACTGTTCATTCTGCTGCTCTGCCAGCCTTTAGTCCTACTGACAGCTGTGACGGGACCTAAAGGTCATTCAGGGAACCGTTACAACAGCAAACAGCAGACTGAGTAGAGTCAGCGGCAAACTGCATTCAAGTCTTTTGAGAAGTGAAGACAACTCGTACAGAATCATTCAAATTTGCCTGGAGCCATTTTGACGCATAGCCAGTCACCTCGTATGACACCGTATAAGCCTCTATCAACTAACTTAAATGTCAACCACAACTGGTTGGCTCCGCGGTGAAGCCTGTCTCAGTGAGAGGAGACTATGGCTACGAGAAACATTATTAAAGTGTACAAAGTGTTTAACGCTTAAAATACATGAACATGAGACTCTGTTGCAGGTTTTTCTGTCACAAGTATTCATGTTTTCTCATTAACAAAGTACCATTAAACTGAGTTCGTCCTAACCCAACTTGAACAAAACGTTTCTTATGATACATTTCTACTTTTTTACTAAGCATGTAGTATAAGAAACTACTGGACAATCTATTATATGGTCCAGTGTTTATAAAGCAACAATATCTAGCTAGTTTAGAGTAGTTTCCCACCTGTTAGCAGCAGATCTCCCCGGCTTCTTGTTCCTCACCACGCGCACCTAATTTTAGAGTTAAAAAAAAATACAACTTCCGGATAAACGTTTCAAAATAAAATTCGTTGTACTTACACAACTTTTGGAAAGAGTGTAAGTGCGAAAAGATTTAATTTGGAAGATTCTGATTCACAAGTAAACTAAAATACAGCTGCAGTGTTCCCAGATTGTCTTTTGATAGTTTAAAGATTTTTTTTCTACATTCCAGTTTGAAGGCAAAATTGCCTGATTTCCGGTCACTAGCTTTGTTATGAAGGAGGTTGATGAGTTATTATTATTTATATATTTTTTTTTTTACATTTTTCATGGAGGGGAGACTGGGGTTGGTTGTCACAGGAGTTGTTGTCACTGTGCTTATCACAGCCACACTAGAGGGCGCTGTGACACTGTGTTGATATCAAACAGTTGGCCTGACATCCTGCTCAGTTTTGCACTGGTCATCATTGTGTGGAACACACACAAAACAGTGAGGTGAAGACATTTTCTTTTTAATTTTTATGGGTCAGAGAAATTTTTCATGTGGGTGTTGTTTTTGTATTAAAAGCTTGTAGGTTATTAGTCATTTATAAATCAAACTCGTATTAAAAAGTTGGAGGTAATAGCTTTGATTGAGTCAACTTTAAGCTAGCAAGCTAAAGCTAGCTCTGGGGGTGGGTTGTCAGACAGTTCACAAAGATAGTCAGCATGGCAAACATGTTGTAGTCCATATGTTCTCAGGTGTTTTTGATTTCTCTCTCTCTCTCTCTCTCACACACACACACACACACACACACACACACACAAACAGTGCTGCTATAGTTCCTCATAAGAAAAGTGTATCTAAACATTTCATCAGTCTCACTGTTTTATTTAAAATTGAATTCATAAGTACTTTTTTATGACAGAATGGCTTTAATTAAGGGCAGATTCCTCATTTTATTTCAATTACAGAGGATAATTCAAACAATCATCTTGTTCAAATTCATGGTTTAAACTCAAGGGGCATGGTTACCACTATTGTTATTACCTCATGTCAGAGTGTCTTTTAATGGTTAATTACTTCTTGTTATTATTGTTACTACTATACTCTTGTTACTATAAGTTGTAAAAATAGATGGGATACCCATTTCAAGCCAGGTCCTTAAACTTTCATTTAATGAAGGAATGACTGTTGAATCATGTTTTGATGGTGGGCAATTTACACAAGAGTAAAAAGTGTGACAACCAACCCTGGTCTCCCCCACAAACAACATGGCTTTAACATGTTTGCATTAGATCAAAAGGATCAGGTGCATAACAGACAGAAAAGCAAACAGACAAAACAGACAAGACGTTGAATTGTTACATTTTATAAGATATTTAATAATAAAATTGTAATCATAACAAAAAGTAATTCATCCATCTATTTTCATGACCACTTGTCCTCTTGGGGGTCTTGAGGGGGCTGGAGCCTATCCCAGCTGACGTTAGGCTTGGGGCGGGATACACCCCAGACAGGCTGCCAGACTATCACAGGGCTGACACATACAGGCAGACAACCATTCATGCTCACATTCACACCTACAGACAATTTAGAGTCACCAATTAACCTGCATGTCTTTGGACTGTGGGAGGAAGCTGGAGTACCTGATGAACACCCATTGCATTTTTATTCTTAATTAATTTGAGCCTTTTCAATAAAGAAGAAACTCATTAGCTCATAAAGTGATAATGTGATAGTAACCTTTATTTATTTAATCTCCAAACAGAGGCAAATCAAGACATAAGGGACTGTTCATTATTTGTGAGAAGGCAGGGGCTGGCACAAAACAGGGGAAGCACTTAAGTAATCTTTAAGCACTGGGGGAGGGAGTTATGTTTTTTGATTTGGCTTAGGGGTGGGACATTCAACTTGACTGAATGTCATTTGGGGCCGGTTGCACAAGGCACCTTAAGTTTGAACATAATCTCTTAAAAGGTCAATAAAAGACATTAAAGCATTTACTGCACTGAAAGAGATTTTACAACAGTAAAGCAACTGTTTCCATGAAGAACATCTGTTTGCTTGCATTTGTGCTTGTGACCATTATCACATATTTATTATTACATATTATGTATGTATAATTACACTAACTATTTATAAGTATTTTAACAATAATATATTGGGGTTTTTCAATAATAACAAACATTGCATAGCCTATTCATTAAATGGTTAGTCTTTGCAGCAAAAGACCTACAGTGAAAATCAAGTGAAAAGACAAGTAGGCCTAAATAAAATCATGGCGAGTAAAACAGGTGAATATAGCCTACAGATGCTACATTTAGGATGCCTTCATTTTTCCTTATCAGTCACCATAAACTCAGCCATGTTGTGGTTACGATGCAATCAGAGGTACCTTATGTTTTTTTCCTTACTTTGGTTCCTAAGGTCCTCTGTTTAACAAACTTCAAGCAATTCCTTAAATTCAAGACCAAGATAAAGAAAAAAAAACCTTTAAGAAGACTTAAGGATGTTTTGTGCAACCGATTTTATTGAAAGGAAACCTTAATTTGAACTACCAGCAGTCTCTCAAGCCTTGTCAGTCTATGACTGTGGTTAGTACTTTCACAAAGTGCAGTGTACGAGCTGTTTGATCCTGTCTCTGAGACACAGAGAGGCTGACTCTGATTTGTAGTAATATCTAACCTGGAACAACCTGGGCTGCACACTCTCCTTTATACTTTGAAAAGTACATATATCACTTGAGGCACATTTCACTTCTGCTTCTTCAGCGTGAATCTTTAGAGCTATTTCTGAAATGAGTCATGAAAAATCATTCATGTGTTCAACCATATGTACATTTTAATAACAAGATCCAAAAGCAGTGCAATAAATTAAGTATGATAAAAATCTAAAACTGTCCTGGAAATGAAAAGCGCATCATAAAACATCAGTCTCTCTTGAGGTCACACAAGGGTCGTGCAGATGTGTGCATTCATGTCTTTCTGTGGATCAGACAGTCAGTTGGTTGAAACAAGGCTACATGATTGTAAACTCCTTGGAAATGTGAAATTCACATCTGAATATGACTGTTTTTAATGTCTACATCTTCTTTTCAAATACCTCATGCTGATGTTAGCTGTGTTAAATATTTGAATAGATACATAAAGATTGACTTTCAGTGAAAGTACAATATGTTGTGGCGACTGAAATGGATGAAATCTAAAGCTTGACATAAACATATATAAACAAGTGTGTGTTCAATGAGTGGAAATGTTATTAGCTACATTACAAATAATGCAAGAAAAGAGCAACAACATACAATTTATAACACATTTCATTTGTGCACCGTTTTACCGACCAACCATTTAATAAGACTGCAGAATAAACAAGTACAATTTAATATACAGTGGAACAATATAGATGTGCTGATAAATATTGTGTGCTACAATATTCTGTAAGCAACATAGAACTTCAACTATTTGAAGACATCTTGGACTGATGCAAAACAATCCGCTTTTTACATTCCTCTGTAACTTCACATACAGATCCATCTGTTCCAGTGTTCATAGGAATAAATAATATGCATGGTAACATATTTAACTCTGTATTTAACTCTGTCATTTCATTTGAAAGTGAACAAAATGTCTTTATAACAAGCGGAGAAACAGGCTTGGTTCAGTTTAGTCTGCTTACTAGGGATGTTTTGATACAACCATTTTACTATGTAATTACTATCATGAACTAACAAGATACTAATAAGACAGTAATTGTCAACTGAAGCAGTCCTCAGTTCAAAAGTAGGTGAGCTTATCTACACATTGAGGGCCCCTTCTCATCTACCTTGTTTGGTCTGGACTTTTGGACTTTGATCTGAACCAAAATTACAGGTGTGAGACCACTGTCTGGGCCAAACAGCCAAACATTAGGTCAGACAAAAGGAGGCGGTCTCAGTCTGGATATAACTGAAGCATGGCTCTGTTTGTTTCTGTTGTGAAAACATTTCAGGATGGTTTGGGCTTTCAGACCAATTACAGGAAATTTTGACAAGCTATGGTCAAGTGATAAGAGTAGTGTAGCGCCTCAGTGTGTAATGTGTGTGGTTTAACGACAGAGAGAGCGACGGTTGCTGCACTCAGGGCAGACAGCCATTTGCGATCGGATCAGAGCAGAAATGAGCCGTTATCAAGATGTAGTAAATGTACAGTGTAAGTTTCAGTTTGTCAATCAACAACGCCACATAACAAAATGAGCCACGGTGGCACATGGGGGGAGAGGAGGGGACAACTTTATAAAGAGTCAGTTGGAAAATCTCACAAACTTTTCAGTTATTTTCCAAGTGGATGTAAGATAAAGGACACTACAGGACTGACTCGTCTACAAACCAACAAATGTCAAGTGCTGGTAGAGGCAGCTCATGAAGGACACAGGTATGTCATGTATATTTCTTTACTGTGCTCACACAATTGCGATGTAAAACCAAAACTAAACGTGTAAAATCTTTGTTTGGACTTTCAGATGTGCAAAGGCCCTAACGCTACCTACAGAAGGCATGTTTGGGGCCCATAACTGTCAGAAATGCTGATATGGATTAAAGTAATAATAGAATTCTAATTCAACATTTCAATATGCACACTGACTTTTAGTTGGGTTCATCAGCAAAGACACTTTAAGAGCAATTGTTGGTTTAAAAGTTGATGGGTCAGATTAGATCAATGAGACTGCTGCTACACAGCAAAAAGAGAACTGTAAAATGTAAATACTGACAGACATGTACGGCCCAGTGGACACCATGTTACTCTCTTTCTGTAATCATGTCCTTTGTTCTTCAAGAAGCACTTTGTGACAAATATTACATTTGTTTCTACCTTTATTCCATGTTTCTCTCTCACCTGTCTCTTCTTCCTTGTCTCTCACACGTTTATAAGTCCTTTGGTCTTACCGTTGTCTTTGTGTGTTTTTGTACAATGTATTCTTTCTTTTTAAAAGCACTTTACAACAAAGAAGTGCCATGCTGTCAGCTGGAGCAGAAGGAGCAGTGAATCCCTCCCGTCAGGTCAGTGATGGCGCCCTCTCGGACCAGCTCTTGTAAGAGTTCAGTCTCTCTGTCCACATTGTGGGAAGTCTGCTTCAGCATGGCAGTCATGGGCAGATGGTCGTAGTAGTGCAGTGGTGCCTCCTGCTGGGAGAGGTTGTAGCCGAAGCCTGCCAGGCTGACCTCGTCGCACAGAAGGCTGGCTAAATTCAGTGCAGAGACCCCCATGGTGGGCACATTCTGTCAGAAAACAAAACAAATATATGAAACTATTATCATGGCGAATACATTACAGTCGTCATTTTTTATTAGGTGGGGGTTTTTTTTGCGTACTGACAATAATATGTTTGTTCACAACCTGAGCAGCAGCTGGAGGAGGTCCAGTGGTAAAGTTGGACATGAAACTTTGATGGGTTTTAAATTCAAATGTCAAATCTGTGTCCAAATAACTTAACAAAATAACACAACAAATAAAAAATGGTTTTCCCACATAATACTTTGACAAGGGGCTGGAGAAAATGTCTGCTAATTAATTACTGATTAAGAGGTTCTGGATCTAGCCTCCACCACTGCTTCCTGTGTGCATTAAGATGGCTAGAATGAGTGTCAAAGGTAACATTGCAGAGATTTAGCCATACATGTCTGAGCCTCAGTCAGACCCAGACTCAGATGAGGAGTTTGTTGTGCACCAAAATCAGCGACTAGCAGACGTATCGGAATGGTGAGTGTGATTAGCATCTCTTATTTATGTTGTTATTTTAGCTTGTTAGCTCGTAACTGACAGTGGCTGACACAGCCTTAGTGTTTGTGAAACATACAATAACATCTGCTATGATAAAGTTTTTGGTAGAAGGAAGATCCAGGGTCCACTTTACGCCCAAAAACCGCAAGTTCTAACATATTTGCTGTCAAAACTTTCACTATGCTGATACTAACTCTGCTCTCTGTAACAAGTCCGCTCTGCACTGGAGGTGTTGAGGTCTACTGTCTTGTCTATATGCACTTCCCTTTGTAGTGATTGGCTTACATATAATCTGACTGCCTGCTGTGTATTTGAATCTCAAATTTTAGGGAAGTGCACAGACATCGCCCCCTTCAGCAGAGGAATGTCAAAACACCTCTCTTGTAACAAACTTTGCACAGAAGCAGGTCAGGCTAGTGACAGAGTTTTGGGTGGAGGGGGGCTTTAAAAAGTGTCTGTAAAAAAATAACAAATTATACTGTATACAGTTTGTATTGTGCTGATTCTGTATTCAGTTAACTTTGGCTTTAAGACACAGACAGACAGATTTAATCTCCAGTGTAGAAGTCTATTACCTGGTCTCTTCCCCACAGGTGTAGTCTGGGTGGAGGGTATTTCAGTAGATCCACTGCAGTCTCTCTGATGATTTGTGGGTTTAGAAGTCTGAACCTGTGGCGTTTAACAGGGATTTGATCTGGAACCTTCTGCCAGAAGAAGAGCCAGTCCCACAGAGGCTGAAACACAAAGCACACGTGTGTCCTAAGTGTCTTAAACACTGCAAGATTTTTAAATAATTATTTCTCAAGACAACAGATCAGCTTCTGAATCTTTCTCCAAAGCATAACATATGAGTAAACCTGACACCTTTAGGTCTGACTGAATGAAGGTGGTGAGTTGGGTCTAATCCTTGTTCCACATCTATGTGCAGCTTCATTTTCAAAGTTACTGTCTGAACTGAGAGCGCTAACGGATCCATTACTTTTTTTCTTATGTACATTATGCTTAGAAACACTTTATATTTTGAGCTATATTTATACAATTTAGGTGATTTAATTTTTTTTACTATTTGCTCACTTTTCAGGTTTTGAATGTTCTCTCTCTGCTCTTTCCAGTTTATCTTTAACTGCATTCAAAAGTCCCTGTTCATCCCTCTTTGATCATTTTTCACATTTTCCAAATTCAGGTTAAATTTAAAATTTATATTGTTGATCATCATCACTTTGTAAGATTGCTAAACTAATTTAAGTTCTTAATTCCTGATTTTTAATCTGTAATTTAATTCACTTTACACAAGATTTTATTTGCTTCTTACAGATGTTTTAAATCTGTTATCTACTGAAAATATATGAAAATATAACTTTACTCATTTTGCTTGATATCTGATGAAGGAAAGCCTCTTGATTTCTGACCTGAACACAGATACGTTACATCCCTGACCTTTTAGTACAATAAACTACTGTAAAATACTGCTACATGTGAGGGTGCAGCCAACTTAGTGGAGTTTTCTGATGGTCAAAAATCATGCTGATAATTTTTCATTGCTATTCATTATCTTTAAATTTTTAAGAATTCAGAATTTCCCTGGGACTGTAAGCTCCATTGCAGAGGACCCACTCCAAATGTAGATATAAATGGATCATTCTAAGGTAACAAAAACACAATGATTCTTAGCTTCAGGTGATTATAAATGGATGAAAACATAGTTATGAATATTATATTCCATTTATGCCAATATATCCCCCTGAATCTCACACAGTGGACCTTTAAAGTAACTCAGATTAAGGCTATCCTATACACAATAAAATGAATATTGTTTCATTATTCAGAACTTATGTTTGAACAAACTGCATCACAGTTTTATTTAATTAACACACACCACCAGTACTCACCACAGAGAGCTTGTTGACCATAGCAGAGATCCAGCTGATGTCTACACTTTTATAAACCACAGTCACAAACAGAGTGTGTGGGTCTGAGTCCATCCATTGCAGCGGTGTCCCCTCTGGGTAGCTCATCCTGATGCTGGTTCGATTTCCGACGTCAACACTGAACTCTCCCAGAGGACCGCTGTTTAACCTGAAGAAGGGAGACACACAGAGTTGTTGGTTTTTAATGTAAATAATTAAGTCATGTGGCTTTGTTTGTTTCATGCTGTGGGAAGTGTCTGTGATGATAACAATTACCACAACATGCGGCAGCAGATTTAAAGTGAAAATCAAGCTGGATTAATTCAGTCACATCATTACATTTGTTTCTAACCTGATGATGGTCTCAAAGCGGTCGATCAGTGGGCCCAGCTCCAGGCCTCTGAGAATGCCTCCATTTCCCATGACCACACAGCGCTGACATTTATCTGACGTCTTTTCTGGCAGGGGCACGGAGTCAGAGTCTGGAAGCTTTAAAGGAAAATGAACACACAGAATCATCAGGTTTATGATCCGAAAAGTGCTGCTGTACTGACAGGAAGATAATAATGCACTTTGGTTTTGTTTTGTTTCTTCTACAGATACATGCTCTTCACTGTTCTTTATGAAGTATATGAATTATATATGCCACCACACCATATGGTACATTGCTTGACAGCAAATCAGCCAGCAAACTGTAATTGCAATAGCTGGGTTTCAACCAGTAGAGGGTAGTCACTATGCATATTTTATAACACACAACATAACTAAATACCTATATACATTAGTGGTTTGGGGATTGAGTTATTCTTATAAAAATAATTATATCATCTCATTGCTCCCTCTTCGTCTGCAATGGTTTTGCAGCAGCTGACTTGAGAATTAGCAGCACCAGCTGTTTATCTCAGTTTAGTTATACACACACAATACATTTAGTTTAAACTTGATTTTTGGGACAAACATCTGCTTAATCAACACCTCCCACCTCCAACTCACTATATGAGACCACCAGGTCCCTCTCTCATGCTGCTTTAAGGCATCTATTACCAGTGCTGAATTTGCCGATAACAGTGGCACCCAATTTGTGAGCAAATATCAATGTGCATTGACGATCTGAGCTTAGCTTTGGATAGGCAGTCCCTCAGCTGTAGGTGCAGCCAGAAATCACTTTTGTGTTTCAAATTTCCAAACAAGAAATTAAAATCTTCCAACAGGAAATGATTCCTCCTCTCCTAATTTTAGGGTTGCACCTGAGTGAAGGTAAACTCATCTAAAACATAGAAGATTTTGTTTGTGTGTCTGCATGTGTGTGTATGTAGTGTGCCAAATAATCTCTGTGGAAGACATACTGGTAACTGAATTCTTAGTTTATATATATACAGTATACACAGGGTTGAAATGATTAAAGCTGTTGCACTTCTGGCCCCATGCCAAATGCTGAGGTAATTGAGGACTTTTGTCTACATTCGCACGTTTATCAGTCCCTGGTCAGTCAAGGGTATTAGTTGGACAACGTTTGCATTGTAAAAAAAAGGCATTCCTATAAAGTTTTGTTTTTAAATTAGCACCATAATATGCAGTATATTATTATCTAAAAAAAAAAAAAAAAAAGCTTGACACTGATGTGCGGTATAGTATGTTCTCAGTCAAAAAAAAAAAAGTCCAGAGTGCTCAGAAGGTTCATCTAATCATGAGACGAAGGTGCTCTTTGGTGGGAATATAGACATCAAAAAAAAGGGAAATCCAAGGCACTCTTCTTTAAATGTATAGAAAGCCTTTATTCAAAAAATGGCTGTTTCATTCAGAAAAAGTTAAAACATGATGAAAGTGGGTTACAGCCCACGTGTTTCGGCACAAAAGCCTTTTTTAGCCTCATTTAGACCTGGATAGATAGTGGCTTTCATTTGGTAAATATAAGAAGTCTCTCTCTGAAAAAGTAATTTGAGTCTGTCACCACCTCTAATGTTTTTTTGAATACTTTCTAGGCCTTCAACCTTAAGTGAGCCCAGATTGCTGTCATGTGCTTCATAAAAGTGCTTAGCCATTGGGTAATCAAAGTTTGCTTTTCTGATAGCATACTTATGCTCAGAGACTCTGAGCATACTTATGCTCAGAGACTCTGTCTTTTAAACGTCGCTTAGTGTGGCCTATATAAAAACAACCACAGGTACAGGACAATCAATAGACCACAAACATAGTAATACAGTTAATGAATGACTTGATGTCATAAGACAAAAATCTTCAAAACCAGAGCAATTTTACTTTGTCACACAATATAGTTCTTTTGCAAGCTCTGTAAAAAACGATTGTGCATTCTAATTGGAATTTAATCAAGAGTGACCCTCTGCTCCAAGAGGTTTTTCCTGTTCCTCCTCAAACCAGTTTTAGAAGGGCCCCTACTTTACGTGACAGGCTGGTGCCTAGCCATCTCTCTGCTTCAGATAAAAAAACTTGGCTTCATCGACCTGTGAAGGGTACTTATAAATGTGGCTTGTGCAAACGTGCCAATATCAAACAATGTAAACAATTCAGTGACTTTAACACTAACAAGGCTTATGACATCAAGTCATTCATTAACTGTAATACTATGTTTGTGGTAGGGATGCACCTAATATTCAGTAACCGAATATATTCGGAAGAATATTGCAAAAAAACACACATTCAGTATTCGGTGGAATAAGTGAAAAGCAAGGCCAAATAATAGCGGCGTGTTCTGATAATGCAATCAAACAGTGTGCGCTGACGGACAGAGTAAAATGTCGGCAGTGTGACGATATTTTACTCCGTCCATCAACGCACTCGCATTTGCGACTAAAAATTGTTTTGTGCAGGCGAAATAAATCATTCAGCACGCTGTGCGAATACAGATTTCAACCAGCAGCAGAAACGAAACGGCGAATCCCGCCGGTTGTGGGTTGAACGGGGGTCACAGACACAGACAGGAATACGTTTTCCTGTCAAATATGGCGGCGCATGATAACGGCTTACCGGCGATGGAGAAGTCCGGCTCCAGGTGAATAACTTGTTGTTGTCATGACTGCCCAAAAGTACCTGAACAGCCAAGCCGTGGCGGCACACAGTATGTGGCGTATCAGAGGAGAAACGAGCCGTTCACATTTCTCTCTTTCTAGCAGTAACGGCCCACAAACCTCACCACACTTTAGGGACTGTTCTTTACTTGTCAGGGGAGGAGGGTGGCTGGTTGATTCTTATTTTATTTATTTATTTTATTTTGATCCCCCCTATGTTAATCACTCATTGATGCTGTTTTTGAAGTATGAATAAGTCAATAAGTAATTTATTCCACTGAAATATCATTGATGTATTATAGAAAATTGATTTATCTTTTTATAAATGACAAAAGGCACATCTGCACATTTTTGACACATTTTTGCTGTGGTATCGTGATACTACTCAGAACCGTGATACTTTCACTGGTATCGTACCGTGGGTCCCAATTTTGGTACCGTGACAACACTAATGTGGAGGGGGTTCATCTGCAAAAACTAATGAAAAACTAAAAAACGGCATTTTGTATTCGGTACTTGGTATTCGACCAAGCGTTTAATATTATTCGGCTTCGGCTTCTGCCACAAATTTTCATTTCGGTGCATCCCTGGTTTGTGGTCTATTGATTGTCCTGTACCTGTGGTTGTTTTTATATAGGCCACACTAAGCGACGTTTAAAAGACAGAGTCTCTGAGCATAAGTATGCTATCAGAAAAGCAAACTTTGATTACCCAATGGCTAAGCACTTTTATGAAGCACGTGACAGCAATCCGGGCTCACTTAAGGTTGAAGGCCTAGAAAGTATTCAAAAAAACATTAGAGGTGGTGACAGACTCAAATTACTTTTGCAGAGAGAGACTTTTTATATTTACCAAATGAAAGCCACTATCTATCCAGGTCTAAATGAAGACACTGATTTCAGTCCTTTTTTGTAACTTTTTTTCTATCATTACAGATACAGTGTTTTTTCTGTTTCTTTATTTCTGTATTTAATTGTTTAACAATTGGTGGAGCCATCTATTGGTCATGATCTGTTATTTCTCATGTTTTCATTGTCCTCCTACCTACTCAGGTGATTCTAATCATCCTATGTAAGGAGCTCCTCCTACCTACTCAGGTGTTTCCAATCATCATATGTAAGGAGCATTAGTGTGCTGAGGGTTACACCCTGAGAGGCTGTTTACACGTACACGGTGATTTTGATAAACGGAGACATCTTCCTTCGTTTGTGCCCTTCGTTTACACGCAAACGGAGATTTCTCCTCTGAAAACGAGTCTTTCTAAAAACTCCGGCCAGAGTGGAGATTTTGGAAAACTCCGGTTGCGCATTTGCATGTAAACTGAGATAAACGGACATAAACGGAGTTATAGGCAGCCGACATCACAGTATGCGCCGGAACTTGCGCATTTGATTCCAACGAAAGGAGCAGCTGCAGTCTTCTGCCAGTTATCTGTTTGACTCTGGTCTAAGTTGCTACTAGAATAGAAACCAGCATGACCGTTGTACATATCTACAAGTGCATATGACTGAAAACAATCACAGATACATAGAATCTTTAAACTGTCTTTAACTGTGACAAATTTAAAGTATCGTTACTTGAAATACTGTATGACCGTTCAAAACTAAATTGAAGATATCTTGAATTGAAGATTAGCTTGTCAGTAGATTAATATCAAAACCTAATTGCACCATTGGTTAGAATGTAATCGGAGATTTCATAAATGTTTTTTTTGATTAGTCCGAAACAAAACATGTTTGTAATGTGAATCCCGTCCACCTATCACTCTACTGTATTGTTCCAACAGCTGTGGTGTGCCACTGGGCTGTATTTGCATGTGATGTGTGGCAGAGGCTGCTTTCAACCAAGGTTAGGCTCTTCATATGATGCGCTCAGCTCCGGGCGTGTCTTGGAATGTCCATTTGTCACGTAGCTGAGACCACACAAGGTGCCATTAAGTAAATACGGCTGTATTATGTAAATGACCAGCTGCAAACCATATCAGATAGAAATAATGGAAGGTGAAAGAGAAAGACGTTGCATTCACCTGCTTGAGCAGGTTCTCTACTCTGCTCTGAAGACCTCTGAATCCAAAAGGTGGTGGATACAGGAAAAGGTCGTCAGGGAGTGGCACATCCTTCCACAGAAAGGCCTGGGTCATGTGACTTGAAGCGGGGAGTCGAGCTAACAAACTCTGCCTGGTGCCGCTGGGACGACACGGGCTCTCCAGAACCCTGTGCACGTGCTCGTGCACCAGCTGCAGGTAAAAGACAGGTTATGAAAGCACAACGGAAGCTTCAAGACAGTGTCATTACAATGACAGTTTGACTGACGTTGCCAAATGCCACAACCTGTTTCCCTGCAGAACCTGTTTCACAATAATTATCTTTTTCATTTAAATAATGTGGGGCTGGCCTCCATCAACCGTGTCAGTAGTACAGAACTGTCATTTCTGTGTGACCCAAGGCATCCTGCTCAGCGGCATCAGCAGGGAAACTGGTGGTTAGAGTGTAATACTGGTACTGTGAGTGCCAAAGAACTGTCAACGGCGCATAGCATTAACAGGTCATGGTAACATGGCAGCTTGTTTCAGTGTGCGTGGAAGAACTGTGACGCATACTTTTGTGTATAGGTTGGTTTTGGTCACTACTAGGAAGCAGTTTAGTGGTTACAGCTTAAAGCAGTTTAAAAAGCAGTGTCTTCTGTCCACCAGACAGGGCTAAGAAACTGTGAGTACCTGGATTTCACAGAAAAGGAAACTGTATCATAAAGAAGCATGCTTTTTTTACCCTCCACACATCAATCTGTGGGCTATCTGTGACCACAGGCAACCACTTCAAAGAGTGATTCTCTGCTCAGTGTTGCAGCAGGTACAATGACAGCTGACAGCCGCCCTTGCTTAATTTGTTCAAGAAGGATGCTCCTGACTTTCAAAATACAATGCTCTAGTCTCAGAGAGCGACAAGAAAAATCACACTGACAGCATTATCCAAACATATCAGATTCAAACTCTATTCAAACATAATTTGCTAGCTGGCATAGACATAAAGAGATATTCCTTTAGCTGTAACTAAAGTTGGAAGTACACATCCCTGAATGGATGTTTGCCTAGTTGCTCGTTATGTATAAATGTGTTTCACATAAATAATCAAACGTCTACAGCTTTGGTAGTGGCTTTGTGAGGCTGTGCTTGGACACAATTGAACAATCTTAGTCCCTCCCCCCATTGCTCAACCGTTACACTGCTGGGTATATGTCCTCTTTTCCCCTTTCGGAGATCAGCAAAGTAATCTAGTATTTATAACTTACTACACCATGGTGCTGACCTAACAGAGATAATATAAACAAAGGAACTTTAGCCTTGATTTTTTCTGGCTAACAATTTATGTCATCTTAAAAATATGTCAGCATCCAAGCTATTTGTCCTTTTCCAAATCTCTTTAAAGTAACAAGAGAAATAAGGAGGAAGCAAACTTGGCTGATATGGATGAGCTGACATTAGGCTGTCTCCTCTCAATGAAAATTAGCTAGATGTTAGTTAGCTACTTAGCTGGCATTTTCTTAACAGCAGCTAACTCAAGATGTGACTATATACAACCTAACATGTATAAAGATTGTGACAGTCCCCCAGAGACATGATTTAAACTTTTTCAAAATGTGGTCTTTTCAACACTCTATGTGAGCCAGACATATAGCATAACGTTATCTGAGAGGGAAGGGGAAAGCTGATCAGGGTTCTGTCAGGTACTAAGCTTGCTCAACTATTACCGGAGAGAGCAAAAAGGTGTAGGACAAAGGAAAAGCTAATTGGCATGGTACCAAGTAACAAGGACAACGTTTACACACTGATATTGACAGCCAGAGTGACCAATAAACAGACATCCTCTATGCTGTTTCTTTTATCTGTTGTTATACAAGAATATGGGTCAAAATGGTGTTTTTTAGTCCTTACAGATATCTATACTTCACTTTCAGCCTTGATTTTCACTTCTGAATACTGCCAACTTTCAGCATACAGCAGATGTGGAAGCCTGCAAACCGCTCCTCTCTGCCTTATTCTCACCTTTTTATGTGCATCGCTGACGTGCCAGTCCAGAGGTTTGCTTGTCTCGGTCTTCTCCATCATTGTTAGAGAGACTATCCCCAAACACAGCAAACCTAAAACCACACCCAGTGCCAACACACGCCTGTAGACACACGCACGCGCACACACACTGCAGGGCGGAGAGAGAGGAAGAGACAAACATTTCTGTTAGAGTGTGAAACATTGAGTTAAAATGACAGCTATACAAACTACACCAGCACATGGGTGGACCCAAATGCTGGAGGAGATAAGCAGACAAATGGAAGCAATGGCTGAGATCATCAGAGTGAAGTACAGACTATACTATCAGAATGAGAGTGGCTATGAAAAGCTTCATTATAGTCACTTGACATACTGTGACAGTTTGCATGCAACAGTGTCTTAAGTCTCTTAGGTTTGTGTTTACCACAGATGTTCTTTTAGTCACCTAAACAAAAACCCTTTCAAAAAACCCACTGACTTTGAGAGAGGGGAGCCTGGAGTACAGAAATGCTAACTCATTTCCGCATTTTAGGACTCATTCCAAAAACCCTCTATTAAATATGTCTACAACAAAAGACATGCTTTTTGAAAGGCCGTTCCTAATCCTGTACTAACCACCAACAAAGGTGTTGATGCCGAGTTGGTGATTGCTCTAAAAACTTGGGCAGCAGTCTCTATAATAAACTGTGTTTTGAAGCCCATGCTGCTTCCACACTGAAAAAGGTCCAACAATGTCTCCTCTGAGATAATGGCTCTCTTTTATAAGAGTTTGACCAAATCAGTCTTAATGTTTTGTGTTGTGGCCTTATCATGGTGGCTGGTAAGGTTTCAGGGGGCAGTCAAGCCCAGTTTTCAAACCTATAAACACACAGGTGCTGAGGGAGGCTACTTCCCTTCTGGATTGCCAAGATCCCCCCCTTCAGTCAGAGTTCGAACTGTTACAGGACAAAGAGATATAATGTTTCCTTTGTCCCTGCTGCCCTTTATATGTTAAGTGGTAGATGGGTTTAACTGTTGTTAAACAGTTCTCTGTTGTTAATTTGCACCTATTGCTCATTTGCACAGATTGCTTTAATTGTTTACATGTGTTTCTGACCTGAATACTGTAGAACGTCCTACTGAACCACTCTGTAAACTATGTCCTGTTGTTGTTGTTGTTATGAACTGACTAGCTGAATCCTGGCTGCAAACTTATTTCCCTGTAAAGGACAATAAAGATAATCTGAATTTGAACGTGTGTCGCGAGACTCGTGTCTGTGTAGGAGACCAGAGAGAAAGATATTCAACTGTCAGTACTTGTGTAGCTTCTTAATGAAAATCTGTGGTTTAGAGTTCAGTTCCTCTCCTGTGTCTCTGTTAGTAGTTTCAGATATCTACTTTATCTTACCATTTCATGTTAGCTTTCGAGTCATGTTACTGCTGGTGGAAACTCAACATTTTGTTGGTACCGCGGCTTCATAATAAAAGTTTTTAATTGTACAAACAAAACAAAATAATATCACTTTAATGAAAGATTTATAGGGAATAAACGGTGTGACACATTGTGCAACAGTTTTACTTTTACCCACATTTGTCTGGTACCTGGTACTTATTTCCAACCCTGACTGTCTTGGTGAGCTGCTCTCCTCCTGCTCTCTCTGCCCGGTTCGCACAAGCTAACACAGCAGCAGCAGACAACATCCGACACCGAGCCGTTAAAAGGTCTCAACAATCTCACACAGAGTAAGAGAGAGGAGCTGAGAAAATCAATACGCTGCCTCATAATTCATGATTTTTTTAACATCAGGAAAGACCTCCTAAAAACCCCAAATTCACTCCACAATCCAATCCTAGCCGACACACCCTCAAGTAGCTTCCTTCATCTACCAGCCAACTGCATACCTGGGAAAGAAGAGCACCACAACAGCTGGTGAATCAAGCATTTAGTTATGTAAAAAGCATGACATGTAATATATTCCACACAGAGGATGGGCCAACATCAGTATTAACTCATCAAGTCTTGTTTGCAGATAAATGAGATAAATGACAAACTGAACTTTGTGCTTGCAAGTTAAAGGTTCAACCAAGAGAACAGCTACCGCAGCAGTGCGTGAAAGCTTCAAATACAGTGATGGAAACTTTCAGATGTGGGAATATTTCACCAATATAGGAGCTGATCACTTTCATAAGGTTTTGACCAAAATTAAGCACCACCACTTAAGTACCAATACAATCCAAACAGCCAGAGAGCAGTTTTTACTCTGGGAATCTTGCTTGTGGTCAAGGTGCCAGTATAAAATGAAAATGGAAGAAATAAATCTAACAGTCATTTATAAAGAGTATGGTTAAATGCCTTCTGAACACACTAACCCTTGCTCTGCCATATCTTCCTGTCTTACACCATCTTTCACATGCCTGTGCTATGGAGCTACTGTGTCATGATCTAATCACTGGAAACACAAAACAAACATTACTAGGCCTTTAGTCCAGTTTCATATGATATGCAGATCCTGAAGTGCAACAACTATATATGTCTTGAATCTGGCTATATTTCCAAAACTATTGAAATTATATCAAAATATAGTTGTGCCTAGCCGACAACCCCTCATCTCAGCTGTGCATTTATTTACTTCCCTTGAATTGCGGCTATGCTTAGATCCTGCCTGGTGCCTTCTACATATATTCTACTAAAATACTATTATTATTATATTATTACTAAAACTAATGTTGTTGTAGCTATTGTCATTACTGTTTGCTCCGCTTCTCTCTCTGTATCTCCTTCTTTTAATGTATCATTTATTATTTTGACCTATACACACTACATCTATTGCACGTCTGTCTGTCCTGGAAGAGGGATCCCTCCTCAGTTGCTCTTCCTGAGGTTTCTACCATTTTATTTCCCCGTTAAATAGGTTTTTTGGAGGAGTTTTTCCTTATCCACTGTTAGGGTCCAAAGGACAGAGGGATGTTTTACGCTGTAAAGCCCTCTGTGGTCTGAGCACAGTTCACTCTAAGTGTGCCTTGCAGTTTGCTTAACTTGTGCTCCAGGTTCACTTTGCTCTTTGCCTTTATATTTAGCCCTCTAGATCACATGCTATTGCACTAAGACACTAGGAAAAAACAGATAAACCATGTCCACCTGTAACACTACCAAGGACACAGGACGAGGAGTAGTTTGTTAGATAGTGCACATCTCCAGATGTGAAATGAAGAACGCATCAAACAACACAGAAAATGCTGACACATCTATTTTTAATTTTTTAATTTTATATACTTTATTAATTCCCAAGGGGGGAATTTAACGGTCCACAGAAGATTTGATTCAAATTCAATTCAATCCATCCATCCATCCATCCATCCATCTATCTATTTATAGGCTATAGTGTGAACAGGAAGGCTCCATCAGAGCTGAAGTTGACCACAAAGAGAACTGAGTCCTCTTTCAAATGAACTGACAATGTGAACAGAAAAAGAACTCCCTTTTCTGTTAGTCCATTTTTTGGACCACTTTATGAGGACTGTTTTCGGTATGTTTCAAGAGGACTATATGTGAAAACACCCTAAGGGTGTGGTCTGGTCAACGCCAGCTCTGATGGGGCTTTAGTCCTCTTTCTGTTCACACTATAGCCTATATATATTACATATTGACAAAGTTCTGTTTTTACTTTGACGAGGCACTGCAGTGTGGTTATGAAGCCCCTTGCTTTCAGATCAACTTGAAATTTAAGGAAAACCTTAGCGTTTCTGTGCTGTAGACAGTTGCCGTTTGATGTATTCTACATTCCACAACTGGAGACGTGCAACATCTTCCGTGGACCAAACTACTCCTCGTCCCGAGTCCTTGCAAGCGTTACAGGCTGATGTAGTTTTGTCTGTTTTTCCAAGCGTCCCAGTGCAATAGCATGTGATCTCACCGCACGCTGTTTGATTGCGTTATCAAAACACGCCGCTATTATTCAGCCTTGCTTTTCACTTATTCCACCGAATACTGAATGTGTGGTTTTTTGCAATATTCGGCCGAATATGTTCAGTTACCGAATATTCGGTGCATCCCTATTTTTGACCTCACCAACAGTGTCTATCTAACCACCATGGTTGGAAGAGAACAGTAGGAGTCTTTGTGCTGTGGTATGTGAACGTCACCTGTGTGTCGCCCAGCGTTTAGGAAGCCTCATGTTGTCCTCGTGCACAGTGGAACCTGGGAAATCCTCCGATACCTGTGATGAAGCCCGATGCCCTCTGGCTCTCAGGGATCTAGTCCTGTACATAGAAGGACAGACAGACAAGGTCTATTAGCCACATTAGTGACCAGTGCATCATGGGACACTTATACAACAGCAGTACCTCTATGAATATAATTCTTTTAATACTATAATGCTCAGTGATTGCATGCAACAGCTGTTTGAGGTAATATTGGCTGTTGTCTCACGGCAATGCAATTTCTAATGGCGGAACAAACAAACTGGCTTATTGGGGATTGCAATACAATATGTATATAAATATTGTATTGTATTTGGAATGTCTTTTTGTTATAGCTAATGCCTGCACATTATCACAGTGACCTACTGTGAAAAAGGTATTTGAATGTATCACCTGAATAAATACCACAATATTAAAGTACTTTGTTATAAGTAAAAGTCCCGTGTTCAGAATATTACTGATAAGAAACTATTACTATATAACTATTACTATACTAACCATATTAATATAGTACAATATACTTGTCTTGAAGTGTCAAAAGTAATAGCACTCATTGTGCAGAATGGCTCCTTTCAGGCTGCTGCAATCATCGTTCTATTAGTGGATTATTATTCAGTAACATACATTCAGCATTTTAATGTCGTAGCTGGTTGAGGTAAAACTCATTGTAACTACTTTATACAAGTATTGGATACTCTAACTAATACCGTAAATACATCATAAATTATGTGGTTCATTTGTGTTGTATGTAAAATCTTAATCTTCATCGTAACAAGTATGACTCCATCTCTCAGGTGCCGAGAAGGGAAAATGTCCCTCTGCAATGTGGCGGACGTAGGGATTGTGGGTTGAAGGGAGTGGCTGAGGTGTGACTTTGTTTAATTATGTTGACCCTCCCTGGAGCTGCAATTGTTGTTCCCTTTTTGTCACATTTACACAAAGTGTAGATATTGGTACTGGAGCCAATGCAACAAGCAAAAAGCACAGAGGGAAAATTCGACAATAATCGATGACAAATGCGTAATTTTGGCAGTGGTAGAATGTAACAAACTTACTCAAGTACTGTACTTAAGTACAAATTTGAGGTACTTGTCTTTACTTGAGTCTAAAACAAAAAGGGAAATGCTGTTTTATAATCTGTGGAATTCAACTCCCTGGATTAAATCTGAGGATACAAATCTTGGTGTCATCCTTGATTCAGATCTAAGTCTCAAGTCCCACATCAACAAGGTGATGAAAACATCATTTTCCACATCAGAAACTTAGCTAAAATGTGACGATTTCTCAATGAAAAAGATGCCAAGAAATTGATTCATGCCTTTATTTCAAGTCGACTCGACTATTGTAATACACTTTTTACTTGCCTCCCACTACCACTGAGAGACATCAGCTCGTTCAAAACTCTGCAGCTTGGCTATTAACCAAAACCAAGAGGAGAGAGCACATCAGGCCAGTATTATCTGCTCTGCGCTGGCCCGCTGTTACATTTAGAATTGATTTTAAGGTCCTCCTCATTATATACAAAGCCATAAATGGGCGGGGACCAAGCTGCATTTCTAACTTCCTTGTTAACTACTTGCCTCAAAGAACACTGCGATCATCTGCTGCTGGTTCATCGGAGGCTCCCAGCAACAGCCGGAAGAGGATTGTGAATTTAGCCTTTGTCAATTATGCCCCAAAGCTATGGAACACACTACCTATAGATATCAGGGAAGCTAGCTCACTAAATATTTTAAAAGGAAGCTAAAAACGTATCTATTTACTTCAGCCTTTAACTAGCTCTGACTTTTCTGATACAGGTCTCAAACTCTTTTTCACACTTCACGCTGCTGCAACTCTTTCAAAGTCTCACTTAATGTTATGAACTACAGTTTAACAATTCTATGATTTTATGTATCAGTTCTGTTTTATGTTCATTCTGTCTATTTTCATGTGAAGCAATCAGTGCTAATACTGCCCTTGTTGTAAAGCACTTTGTGCTGCATTTCTTGTATGGAAGGAAACATTGTACTTTTTATTTCTTGCATTTGTATGAAAGCTTTGGTCACTACTTACTTTGCAAATTAAGATTTTTGCATTGAAAAAAAAACATAAGAAAAGTTTATTCAATATGTTTTGTTATAAATTCAACTACACAACAGTTTATAGATGTGCAGCTGAAACGTTTGGTCTAGCTGATTGACATGAAATTAACTGCCATTTAGGAAGTTTTCTAACTTTCTAAATTAAGTTTGTGACCTTTTTTTTTAAAAAAAAAAAAAAAAAAAAGTTCTGCATTGAGTACTTTCACGTTTAATACTTTAAATACAGGTTCCTCATTATACTAACCTACTTTTCCTTGCGTAACATTTTCAATGCAGGACTTTTACGTGTAACAAGACTGTTTTTACAGTGTGGTATTAGTACTTTTACTTAAGTAAAGGATCTGAATACTCCCTACACTACTGAATTTTGTCTTTTTTTGGAGCAAACATGCTCTCATGTTGCACCATCCCCTCCCCTTTCACAAATGTCGAACAGTCCCTACGTTACACCAAGACGCAGTCTAAAATATAAATACTAAAGTAACTTACCGCACAGGTACCTAAGAATGTTCTTAAGTTACGTAACAATAACATTACGTGAGTATATGTATCTTCACGACCACCACTGGATCAAGACAGCTTTGACGACTCATAAACGTCGTAACGTAGCTAAGGTTGATTACTGGTAACGTTAGTAGGCTGACGTTACTTCCAACACAGCTGCTCTTACATCTCTCTACAGTCTTAAATATGTCACGTTAGCTTGTTACGTGGTTATTAGAACAAAGCAGTTGCTACTAGATAATATTTTAAGCCGTTTGGGCGCTGGAGAGGTACACGTTCAGTGTTATTAATTACCATTCGTACAGTCAACTCCTCGCGACTGTACCGCAGGGTAAAGATAACAGGGTGAAGAGTACAGTTCCAGCAAAAAGTCAGCTGCTACTTAACACCTGCTGTATAAAATACTGCCCTTCTGCTATGTTTGTGCTTTGGTTGATTAGCAAAGCGTCATTTAAGTGCCATATTTCCAATAATATGGCCTATGAACACTACAGACGTCACGCATCGGGACTCTGCTGTTAACTCGAGGAGCTGCCAAGCCTCACCGCCCCAATGCGGGGCAAGCAGCAGCAGCAGCAGACACAATAAATACTAACAATGCAGCTCACGTAGCTAAGTTACATCGTTCCTTGGTGGTGCTAACGTTAACCGTTAGCCGACTTATTGCTTCAGCGGAACACAAGGTGAGCCGTGTTAACCACAACACAAGCCGTTTTGCACTCAATTTTATCGTCTAAACCCAAATTTCTCTATCTTATTTATCTCTTATCTTATACTTATTCACTTACCCTGCCATGGATTCAGTTGTGTCGCCATGACAAATCCTTCCAGCAGAATAAATAATCAGCTATTTGTCCCGTGGCTTTTCATCCCAGCGTCACTTTTTCAGCCTCCTTACAGATGACCAGCCAATCAGCGGCCGTTGTTGCGTCGAGGACCGTTTCCTCATGCGTTTCCTCGTGTATCAGCCAACACCGGAAACACTCGCCATCACTTCCGCCCTTTCATAATAAGAGCCCTCAACTATCCTCTGACATCTGTCCCATTAGCTGACCATAATACCTCTGTGTTCACTGACAGTTTCATTTGAGGAACAAAGAAACTTAAAAAAAAAATAAAAATAACAATAAAAACCCCAAAACAAATAAAATAAAACAGGCCCGACAGTCAAAAAATAAAAAAAAAACAATAGGACATCTTTATAAAGACATTGTATTTAATAATAAAATTACATTTCAAAGAGAAAAGGCTTGCTTTTCTACCAGATTTTATGGCACCATGAGTGGATATGCATCCTTTTATGTTACAGTATGATTCAGTGACTGCTCAGAGATTTCATTCATCTCCAATAGAAAGCTTTAGCTGTTTCACAAAAGCTGAATTACATTTTCTTCAAAACACAAATATTAAAGAACGTCTGGCATGAGAAGACAGCCATATCACATCATTAAGTAGGAACATGTTATTCTTATTTATCTGTTGGAGAAGTAAAGTGAGCCACAGGAGTTTGAGGCAACAGAACTGACAAAGAAACCGCTCCAGCTCTCTGATCACATCAGTCCATGTGAAGTGTCCATATTGTCCAACAAAATCTGACTGCCTCTCCTCTCCTACTGCAGAGGTTGTTTGAGTTCAAACAGTCCTGTTCCACCTTTGACGACCTTTCCCACCACCAGGCAGGCTGACGGTGACACCAGCTGATCGTGTGACCCTGAAAAAGGAGGAAAAACACCATGAACAAAAACACAAAGATAAGGACTTGTGAAAGGAATCCAAAATGGTTCCAACTTCCCTGAGGTATTGTCATAAAGGAAACTAGTTCCTACGCCTTGAATTATGAATCTTATTAAAAATCAAATTTCAACATTCATTTTAAATAGACTTCGCTCATCTGAATCTCAAAAAGTGGTGGCCCCGTTTCCACTGCAGGGGACATAGTGTGTGTTTTACACATGCACAAACTACAATCACAATAAACAGCAATGGCAACATGCCTCTGAAAGTATCCTGTCATCTCCCGTCAGACCTGCTTAGCTCGAATAACTTGTTCCCAGTGTGGAGCAGAGTACAATAACATAGCCGAACATATAAGAATAGCTGCACTCTTCAGTTACGGGACATTGATTTCCTGCAAGCTCAATCTTGTGCATATAAAGCATGACCATATCATAAAACCAAATTAGAATTATTACCTTGGACTGTAAACCTCTTCCAACCAGTCAAGCTGCAGTTTACATCCATGGCTGTCCATACTCATAATATGTAGTAAAGTGTATTTCTTGGGGAAATATTGATGCTTAACACACGTCTTTATCCCAGCAGTACATAAAATCTATATAATCAGCACAGTTTCAAGCTAACCACCCATGATTAGTGTCACCAATTCAGTATCTGACCAAATGTCTCCCCTTCTGTTCCTGAATTATGATGTTCAATGACGGCCAGAAAAGTGTTTAATGCAGAACATTATGATGTCACAGTGAAGCTGACCTTTGACCTTTTGGATATCAATTATCAATTATCAATTTTTTTTTTCCTGTTAGACAACTGTGTGAATTGTTTTGTCATAAGTGTATTAATCCTTGAGTTATGGCTAAAAACATGTCTTGTGAGGTCACAGTGACCTTTGATCACCAAAATCTAATCAGTTCATTCTTGAGTTGAAGTGAACCAAACCCTCAGGAACAGTGCCAGGCTTTGGAGCTTATTTTACATACTGGCCAAACATGGAATTACAACTTCCAAGTCCATCACACGATGTCACTGGGCCCAAAAAGAGACGTCTATCAATCAGTGGATACATTTTTTTAGCGTCACAACCCCTGTGAATCGTTTTGCTATCCAGATTTGATCCATTCAGTCTACGATTATATTATTTTATTCCCATTAAAGTTAGAGTGTTAAACCTGAAGTTTGCTGCTGCCCTATGTCTCTGTTGTCCTTGTTCTATGGGCTCCACTATATGGAAGATCTGGATCATTTCATACTACGGAAACTAAGCTTCTTTGGCTTTATGCGCCACTGTGAAACTTTCATGCGAATGAACGGGGGCTTGCCTCCAACACTGTATCCAGCTCTCTTTATACATCCATGAAGAGGAAGTTTGTGTCAAATTTGAAGCAATTCCCTCAAGGCATCCCTGACATCTCTTTTACTAGAATGAGACAGATGAACTGACAATCTGAAAGCATAATGCCTCCAGCCACGGGTGCTGCTGGTGTGGAGGCATAAAATTCCTGCGACCTCTTTAGGGTTTACATTTCTTTGTAGGCCAATATGGAAGTTAGCGTTGCTCTGGTTCCCTTGTCAAAAAGCGTATGGGATTTTTCCATTGGATTTTGGATTACTGCAGAAAACAAGCTCTATGGCAAACACACATTTATGATATTTACGTTTTGTTTAGCAAGAAAATCTTCAGAAATTAACACCGCTTTCAATAATGTTTGAAGGCTAAATGCATTTGCTAGAAGCAAAGAGCTAATGAAGAGCTCAAATAAAACCATACCAAGGTTGCATGACTTAACACTGCCCCCACAGTAAGGCTGTAAAGCTGTGTTTGGCATGATGATGTTCTGTAGTCTCATTTAGCCACTTGTTAGCAACCGCCTTTTGAAAGACACATAAAGCTTCAAAATTCACAGTGGGGTGTTAACTGACGTATTTTATGTCATAGAACAAAACATTAAAGTCTCTTTTTGCATTTAATGACAGGACAGTTTTGGGGTCACACAAGCTGGAATAGAACCCATGGCCGCTGTGGCAAGGACACTGCCTTTATACATGGGTTGCTCGCTCTACCCACTGAGCCACTAGGCGCCCCAGTGAAAGTCTCTTAAGCTTGTGTTAACCACAGACTTTATTCCAGAAACCAAAAACCAATTGACTTCAGGATAAGGGAACCAGGAGTGCTAAACTGCTAACTCATTCCTGGGACACTCTATACTCTAAACGCTTCGTTCACTAACCCTGATCAATAAGTACCCTCTCCAATCTCTACAGCGATTTCTTATCTGCTAAGTAGTGTAACATATCTCCGCTCACACCCTCAGTCATGCCACAAAGAACTACAAAATAAATCTATGTGTAGAAATCTCTTTTTTCTCTTTGAATTATTATCATCTTCCGTTCCTCACCCAGCATGGTAGCCTGTTTGAGGAATTTGTAGCTGGTCTCGAAGGTCATCTGCTGCAGAGGGGAAGAGTTGGACCGGATAGCGTGCCGGTTTAATGGCTTGTATACACCTTCAAAACACATGTAATCTGCTACCAGTGACAGGTGTCTGGGGTCAACCTCGATACCTAGAGACGGACACAGAAATACAGAGACAAAACCTGAGGAATTGTGACAGCCACGTGGTCTGCTCTCCTGTGTGCAATTGTGTGTGTGTGTGTGTGTGTGTGTGTGTGTGTGTGTGTGCGTACCATAGACAGCAAAGACATCTTTGATTTCCTTCTCTATGACCTTCAGAGCCACTTCAATCCCATAGGTCTTAGCCATGGCGTGGACCTCATTGGAGTACAGTCTTTTGATGTCCAAGATCTGGAGAGAAAATAGAGTCTCAATGTTGGGATGATCACCAAACAATGATAAAAATGTGCAAAATTTATTGAAAAACTAGATTTTGTCCAGTATTTAAACAGTGTTGTAATCCAAATGTACAATAACTTATGCTTTGCAAGACTCGAATCCACAATAAAGACTTGTATGAGTCACATCATGACCAACAGACTTGAATAGTAACAAGTCTGAGTCAGCCATCTAAAAATATTATTTCAGACAGTCAAATCTGAAATGGATATGTCTAACTGTCACTGTGATCTGCAGTCAGAATAGCATGGAACAACCCAAACTATTATTAAATTACATAATGTTGATCAGATTATATGACATATATTTACCAGATATTTCCACTGGGGGTTCCTTTACAAATCAGTTTCAACAGACATAAAAGACCAGACTCAAAATGAAACTAGAAAGTGCTTAGCACACTCATGGGTTTTGCCATGTTGCACCTTCTTCTAAAAAAACATTATGAATTTCTTCATAATCCACTCTGCAATCCGTCCTTACCCTTAAAACCACCATGTAGTCTCATGCTAGAAAATGTAGACCAAAACCAAAATGTCTGACAGTCTAAACTTCCGACATACATCACTGTGCTTGAACATTTCGTGCATGTTGATGCCTTCTGTGTTGAGGACTGTCTCTTTCTCTCCCGTCTTTGTTGTAGTTTCGCTCAGCAGGCAGCGTGTCAAGCCTTTGGTCTCCATGATGACGGCGTTCTGGGCCAGTGTTGACAGGACTGAGGTCAGGTCAAAATGCACCTTGCTCACCGGTAAGACCAGGTCAACCTATGCACAGGGAGACAAAAGGTGGATAAAGGGATCAAGGTTTAATAAATAACCTTATGAGGAAGTCAAACACTGAAGAAAAGCTTCATATTTTTACATACAACAAGTTAAAGGGTTGATGAATCCTCTACTAAGTATGCAGAGCATATACACTGCAGATAGTTTTTTTTACAGCAGTCAAATGACCCTCCAGTGGTTCCCTGGAGATTAGGGATGCACCGATCCGATATCTGGATCGAATATCAGCCCTGATATCATCAAAATAGATGGATCGGGTATCGGAAAATGCAACCTATACCTGAGGCGATCCTTTCCCTTTAAATCTATTGTGACGCGAGCTACGTCATGGAGCGAAGGAGTGAATCTGCTGTGTGGAGGTATTTCACACTATTTCAACTGCTGTTGCACAATTGTTTATTTTTGTTAAAAATAAATAGTTCATCATTGCATTAATCTGTTTCATCTTGTTTCATTTGATCTTAGGAAAGAACTGTGTAGTCATCAATGCCTGATGCCTCTAGTCTTTTCTCCTCTACATGTAAAGGTATATAGCTATTTAGGTCAACCATGGTATCGGATCGGTATCAGGTATCGGCTGATACTCAAAGCCACAGCATTGGGATCGGTATCGAAACT